ACAAGTCGATAGGAAAGTCTGTGCTCAGAATGCTTTGTCCTTTAGCGTTTATGCAAGAGCACTAAGCCACGTTTAATTAGAGGAGCTTAGGTCTCGGGTCAGACATTTCCCCGGACCGAAATGCCAGTTTTGCAGCAGTCACGGCCGGACACGTGCACCCCGGCAATCAGCTCCCGGCCGCTTTCCAGAGCGGTGGCCGGAGCAGACAGAGGGCCAAGAGGCCGAAACGTCGGACCCAGTTTTGGTCACACGGGGAGCGGTGTGAACTTCAGTGCCCAGGGCCTGATTCGCCACCATCCCTGCCTGGCTTAGGCACGGGCAGCGCAGAACCCGCCACCGGAGGCTTGCGGGACGCCCAGCTCAGCGGGACCGCGCTCAGCCCTGGCAAGCAGGGCTGCGGAGGGCAGGACATCCCGAGCAGAACTGGAGCTCCGCCGCGCGCTTCCTGCTCTTCTCCTTTCCCTTCATTCGCCGGAGGGAAATTCACTGGATACCAATCCAGCCATGAACACGTCTGTCAGTAACAATGATCCAAGTGAACAGGAAACCCCGTGTCAGCTTCACCTTATAGAACATTAAACAAAATAAAAAATGCTGTTACCACATGCCTGGAAAAGAAAATGCAAAGAAATAAGGTGTGTTCTCTTTTGTTTCCGCTTGATGTTATCCGTGTTGAGAGTCAGAAAGTCAGGGAGCTTGCTGCCAAACACAAGTCAATAAATAAACAAATGGAGAACATATCGACGAGCGTGATTCCAAAGGTTACGGGAACGGGGCAAGCGCCACCGCTTCCAGCCTTCCCCTCAGCGCTTCATCCCTCCTCGTCCTGGGCAGGGAGCTCAGACACAAGCCCTGCACGAGGCCTGAGCGCAGCCCTTGAGGAAAGCGGCGGAACTCAGGATTTCCAAGAGGTGACCCGGACGCAATCCACGCCGCTGATGGTAGCGGACGCCGGGAGCCCTCTCTGCGAGGACGCAGCTGCAGGAGCAGCGTCTCCGTCCACTCGCCACAAGCACATTCCCACCAACGAGACGTGCGGCCCAAGCTGCCCCACTGCAGCAGGTCACAGGGCAGCTGCCCAGAGGGCACACCCGGAGACAGGCCATGTCCCGCGGCTGCAGGCGGGATGGAGCCTTGGCGGGATGGTGAGGGAGCCTCCCAGGGCTTCCCAACCACCACCATGGAGAGCGCGGCCCAGGGCAGCCCAATACGGAGCCGTCCGGCCTTCCCCTCCACCACCCCACCTTCCCACTATCCATTTGATAGGTAGGACATCCACCTATCCATCTGTCCTTCACACACTCATCTCCACCCCATAGCCTTCTGAGATGGGCAACCCTCACCAGCCCACGCAGACAGGCACTGGAAATAAAAGGGACTGCACAATTCAGATGTACACATAATTTTGGAGAACCATCAATTCCAGCACAGCTTGGCCAAGCCAACAGTGGAGTTTAAAGGTGATGCTAAAGAACTAAAGGTTTAGGTAAAACTATGGCAGTTCATTCACATCCCCGGGCTCATTCAAGACTGGGAAGACTGTAGCTGCGCTTACAACTAACAGCTATGACATGCACTGAAATTGCCAGAGCTTGTAAAAGCTGATTTACTCTGTGGGGAGAGAGGGGGGAAGTCATTTAGTTTGAGTCATAAGAGACCTTGGTACCATCTAAGCTTCATCATCTCTGAAGAAACAGCTCACTCCCTGGAATTATATCAAGCGGCTGTGTGCAGTCTTGAAAATCCAATAGCCGAGAGCAGTTCAGTTCCTGGAACGGGCGAACACAAGATCTTTATAACCGGCTCCTCAGCAGAGCTTCGCTTACCTTGCAGCTCCTGCTGGGCACTTCAGCTTTATGGCTGTACCTTCAGGGATCCATGGCTCTGAATGCCAGCAAATTTAAGCTTTGCAGTGTTTTTATGCCACCAATATATTTAAAAAGCATAGCCCCAAGCAAAAATAATGATGTCAATCCATCTGCATTTCCCTGCTGGAGGTTTTCACCATCAGCAGTCTCACCTCCTCCAGGAGTCAGCGAGTCTGTGGCTGCTGCAGGTGGAAGGAAGGTAGGAGGGCTTGGGCTAACTCTGCCCTCATGCCCTTAGGAGAAACACAGGAGCTACCTGATCCCTGCACCGTCCTGCATCCGCACCTCCGTGCCCACATGGATGCTCACAAAGAGGGATGATGCTTAAGAATCACAAGCAGGACAGCAGAAAGCCTAAAATCAGCTGAGTGCAACGCTTTATTACTTACCTTAGCTTTTAAGGTAGGTTTTAATGTTGTGGAAGACTTTTTATTGCAGATGGCATTTGTTCGCAGGAAGGAAGGGAACACACATCGGTAGGAGGCCAGAGCCGGCTTTGCCACAGATCCCATTGGGCTGTAAAAAGGAGCTGCATGGGAGAATTCCTGACACCTCCCCGCGCTGGAGTGAACCCAAACGCGCAGGCCAAGACTCCGGCAAGAGCCTCCCCTGGGGAGCTACAGGAATAGCCCGGCCAATTGGTCCCTCTGCAGGAGCTGCTCTCCACGACTCCCATGGCGCGTGCTAGGAGCGGTGTTTGGGAATGACGCGGATGCGGGGGCCTGGCAGGAGAAAAGGAAAGGGAAAGGGAAAAAGGGAAAGGGCAGCTAAGGCTGCTGCAGCCCGGCCAGGGCAGCCGACAAACAAGCACAGGCCCTTTCGGGGGAGCACTGGGGATAGAGGGGGTGCGCGTTGTGACGGCTCCCTCATCAGTTCAGGCTCTTCAGCCCTTTCTGATCTCACAGGAAGGGGTGCAAAGGAGAAAACCCACTGCCCTCTCCGTGAAAGGAGACATTACAGAAGCCTTAGCAGACAGGATAACCACTGTGGGCTGCTAGTTTGGGCAGCCACTTTCACGTGCCTGCATGCCAGAGCGCAAGGATTGCTCCTGCAGGTATTAGCAGTACACCAGGGTAAACCCACGTATTACTGCCAGTAAGAAAGGCCATAAAGGACAGCACGCAGCTCCGGCCTGCGTGCATCCTCCTGCAGCACGAGGCAGCACACACCTGCAGTGCTTTCGTTTGACAAGCAGGACATGCGCTTGGCCCTGCCACGGGTACCTGGCCCTTCGGACACGTGTGCAGGAGACGCCCCCGTGCAGGGCGGCCGCCCCGCGGCGCCGGCGTTCCTGCTTCTTCAGTCACTCCCCACGTGTTACAGACGGCACCTGCAGCAGCTCCTAGCTGCGCCCGAGGGCCACCAGCCCTTCACCAGCAACGAGGGGCTTCACGGGGCGCTTGGAGGCCGCACGGGTGACGGCAGGCCCCCGTGCAGGGCGCACCGGCACGCAGCAAGCAGATGGAGCTTTGTGACTGGCTTCTCCCGGCCAAATGTCCTGCAGGGATGACTGGTTTTCCAGAGCGTTAAAGAGCCGTGTGACCACGGGCAAGTGCCAGATGGCTGGAAACCGCGTGTTGGAGCTGCCCCCGTGACGGATGGCCAGCCTTGGCTGCCAGCACCATGTATGGATCAGCTCTTGGATAGGAAGGACTGGCTGCAAGACGGAGCGTGACACGGGAGTTAGCGCGATTCGTCAATGACGCCATCACCCCCAGTGAAGAGTGGGGAAAAGAGTGTTCTCTTTGACTCACCTTCTTCACTGTGCAAAGCCATCTGCTTTAAAGGTCCTTCCAACTGACAGTACAGAGGCAAAAAGATGTTTCAGAGGCAGGAGAGGTAGCTCTGTGCAGTGCTCCCAGAGAGCAGGAGACAAGATTTTTTCCTTAGTTCTTATGAAGAGACGACTTGAGGAGTGACAAAGCCCTGAACCACAGCTAGGTGCTGCAGTTGTGCCCACCTTGCAGGCTTCGGGCTGGCACTTGCCATCGGGGAGGCTACGAGGCTGCAGGGCTGCCTCAGAGCCTCATGTAAGAGGGAGCGAGTCACCCAGAGCAGCCTGCAGACACCGCGTCGCGCTCTGCCCTCGGCCCGTGATCCAGGCAGCACCAGGAGGCCTGTGCTCAACTCCCAGCGCAGCCATCCGGCAGGATGAACCTGGCCAGCAGGAGCAGAACCCAACGCCACCAAGAGAAACTGCCTTGCAGGGGCAGCATGGCTCTCGCTCTACGCAAACCGCCCCATCTGGCCTCAGTTTCCTCATCTCTTTACACTGATGTACCCCCTCACTTGCCACTGAAATCAGCCCCTGCCCTCCTGCTTGCACTCACCCCTGAGGCAGCCCACAGAACTGGTCAGGCCGAGATGTGTTTCACTGCTCTGTCATCAGCTTCGTGTTGGGCTGCATCAGTCGCTCCACATGGCTGCTGCTCCGCCTGCCCACGTGCTACTGCCGGCACAGGGGACAGCGGGAGGGCGGACAGGGTGGCAGCGGCCACCGGGGTCGGCCGAAAGCGGCTGCCTTGTGGCACCTGGGCCCACTGGCCTCGCGCGCCCTCAGAACCACAGGGTGGATGAGGCTGGAAGGGACCTCTAGAGATCATCTAGTCCAACCCCCTGCTCCAGCAGGGACACCCAGAGCACGGGGCACAGGGCGGCATCCAGGCAGGTTTGGAAGACCTCCAGAGACGGAGACTCCACAGCCTCCCTGGGCAGCCTGTGCCAGGGCTCTGGCACCCTCACAGGGAAGCAGCTCTTCCTCGTGTGCAGCAGGAATACAGAGGCTGCTCTGGCTGTCACTGTCCTCCCGCATGAAGTGCCGCCAGCTGCAGAGGTTTCCAATGCACGGGCCACGCTGGGCAACACACGCTGCCCTGAGTGACTTCAGCATGTGGGCGGCCCCGAGACGCTTAGGCGAGGCCTGAAACGGAGCTAGAACGTTGCAGACGCCTAATGAGAATGTATGTGTGTGAACTCATCTTCATTCAAAAAAGAAAACCCAGAAGATGGTTGCCTCTTTCTTTTAAATAGGCCTTAATTGCTAGTTTTTCTTTCAAGGGATGTGTCGCTTACAGACGAGGCTATTTTAGCCCAGCTGATGTCTAAATGACAACCTCCAAGCACAAATTTCAGCCCTGGGACATGATTTAATCTGTATCAGTAGAGCACTCTGATCCCTGGATGGGATTTTGTCACTCTAGTCTGTTAGCTTGTATTTACATTCCAGAGGCGGAGGTTGGTTCAGAGAAAGGCTGAGGGTGGGAAAATCTTCGGGAACATTTATCACGTCATCACGTGGAATGGTGCTTAGTCTTTCTGGAGAGTTGAAGCCTCTTTGTAGTCAGCAGCTGGGCCAGTCCATTCATCAGCATCATGAATATGGTCAGCGACATCACCAGCACGTAGTGGCTAATGCTGCAAGGAGGCACAGATTGGGAAAAAGACAAAGGAAAGAGAAATGCACAATGTGAGATCCAAAAAAGTGGTAAAACAGCCTTCTGAAAAAATACTCATATCTAATTATTACTTATTAATTCAGTACTACATTTTACATAGACTGCCCTGGGATGGCAACCCTTATAATAGCACTACAATGTCAGAAACAAAATCTCTGGCAAAATGAAAGGGTAGGGACAACAATAAATGCAACTGAATGTATACCAAGCAAAAAAGAGGCACAGGATATATTTTTTTTTTCTTTCACTCAGCTAGTAATTCAATGTATGTGACTGAAACCACTGCAGAATTTTAGTGTGTGCAAGATCATGCAGAAAGGAGAGCTCACCACCAGGCAGATATATTCTTTGGTAATAAGACAGCTCAGATATGCCAGCTGAGTTTCATTTTTTCATTCACTGTTTATTGGAAAGATAGCAAGCAGAAAGATTGTTCTTCACGTGCTCCAGGCCTCGTGCTATTTGCTTGGATATCTGATTTGACTAACATTACAGCGAGGGTATTGAGTTAGACTTGAGTTGTGACCTATAACATTCAGCATCCCGTGTTTGATATTTGAATCAAGCAGCTCTTTAATGTAAGTCACTAGCCATAAAGAAACTGGATTTTTTTTCCCCGAATCCAGTGACATCTCAGCTTGGAGTTTCAGAGGAAATACCACTGCATCCATGTCCATTACAGCATCCAAAGCCACCATGCAGCTGTTCATTTTTCCCTGGGCCTATCAAAGACACTGCCATTAGAGGTATCCATACCTCCTGCATCTCCACTATTTCAAAACAGATGGCTCTTTAGAAAGAGCGGGATAACTTCAGAGTTGATGAGGTCTGAGCTTATTTACAAAAAAAGGATTCCAAGGAGTGCTTGGAGGTTTAATGGTCTGGAATTTCTGCCTGAGGACTCATCCTTTTTGACAGCTTAGCCACGGAAGAGCAGCAAAGCTCGTAATTCTGACGCTATCAATCCTCACGACCCCAGACTGTGACAGCCTTGGCACTAACGTGGCATAATTTAGTTCTGTGAAGTGTAGAAACACTGGCTCTAACAAAGCTTGGCCACTAACCAGCACAGGAAAATAAAACTAATCCAGAAATTGGCTAATGAGTGGGAACTCTTCCATAGCCAGGATACGAGCAACCAAAGGAACCAGCCTGAACACGCCAGGCTGGAGAGCACTGAAAAGGACTTGACTGCTGCTACCAGTTATTTCTGCTCCTTAAAAAACACGGCTGCAAACAGCCTCAAACCTCAGCAGGTTTGAGCCCAGCAAATCCCTCAAATGCATCCGTGTGAACTGCCGGCTGCAAGCAGGAAAACTGAAAATATTCCTCATGTCAGGCAGGTTTCTGTGGGGAACGGGCAAGACGGCCCAGTGAGAGCAGGGGGGCAGGCAGCAGCGTGCCCTAACCTGGCCAGGCCCCTGGGGCTTCGTAGTTCACATTCACAGCACAGAGATAATGCACCTCCCTCCCCAGGAGCGCCCTTTGGAAGGGCCCCGGGTGTGCCATGGAGCCTGACAGAGTTTCAGTGTTCCCCAGGATTCTACCTTTCCAAGAAAGTTTGCAAGTGGGGAATTCCAGAAGCAGAAGTCAAATGGGGGCTGCTCGGTCTCTGTATGCACCTCAAGACAGTTCTAAGACACTTCCTGAGCATTGCTGAAGGCCTGCTGCCCTCAGCATGGGGCTTGTGCAGTGTCTGATGCCCCGCGCCCCATAAGGGGCTTTGCCAGGTGTGGGAGCCAGCAGATGACTTCAGGCAGGCACAAAGTGGGGCTGCTGAAAGCAGAAACCTCCCCACACTCTGCTTAGCTACCTGCCCCTCAGCTGCTTCCCAAATGAGATCCTTCAGCTACTGCTAAAGGCAGACCTCAGAGATACCCGCCGTAACCAAGACCAAAGTGCAAGCTGATCCCTGCAGAGATCGCTGTAGCCCACAGAGTATTCAGATGACAGAAGGAAGAGATACCCCTTCTCTCAAAAACTGTAACAATTTTTTTCCTGTTTTTTTCCCCTCTCCCACCCACCAAAGCTACAGGCAAAGCAGGCTTTTTGCTCTTGCATCCCGTGGCACTTTGCTATCGGGGAACTCCTCAGTGCTTGATTTTGAAGCACCCCTCAGCATCCGTCTCACTTGGTCACACGGTTGCGGGGAAATTCTAGCGATATCTTCAAAGATGTGCATGGAGACAGCAGACAGGATTAGAAACTGGTAAGATGGAGAACGTCACCTTAGCCGTTCAAAAACTGGAACTGAAACAGAACTAAGTAAAACTTCACAATCCCTCTTGGAGAGCTCATTTCAGGCGAGCTTGAGAGCCTCCTTTCTTCGTGATGTGCTACATGCAGTGTGTGCCTAGGAACAAGCCTACATGTAGGAGTACAGATGTGGACTCTAAAATTTAAGTCTACTGCATTTTAGGGCAGAGTCCTTCTCCTTCCTCCCTCCACTTGAAACAATTCCCAAACCATATTACTCTTAGCTCCTAGTCTTAAGATTGGTGGTAGCACTCTTGCTCTATTTACGTGCCTTTTGTTTTAATAAACACACACAGAAACTTCATCTCTCCAAAAGTGTTTCTACTCTATGCCCCAATAACATGCACAGATTAGCAGTCCAAGGTGCACTTCTTTTTAGTACCAACACTGCTAGAACACTTCTCTCACGTTTTCTGCTATTTCAAGAAAACAGAAACACAAAAAAACAGTCTCCTGCACGTTATCTCTATCCCCTGAACTTTGAAACCGCAGAAGAGGAGTTCAGATTGTATCTATCTCTATACTTTCCAGCAACTGTTATAAAAAGAGGGAGTGGTACAGTGAGTCTGTAAAAAAACCCTATATAATACTGTCATATAAAGCGAGGCTTCAGTGGCTTATCTCAACCCTCTGAATATACAACTATTTAGAAACTTTATATTCTATACAGATACATCTTCAAAGCTACAAGTATTTCTGTAAAGAAGTTTTTAAGCTATAGAAATGTTGATTTTAATGACAAAGAAGCAGAAATTAGCTATTCCATTTGCCTGTTATTCAAAAATAGAAGAATCTGTTGGAACAAACTTCTTAAGATCACGCACCACAAATGGACATATCAAAGATACTAGGAAGACTGTGTTACTATTTTTATAATATTTATAAATATATTTATTATAATTTTAAGGCTGGATACTTTCTAGTGAATATAATGCAGCTTATGGTGACCCCAAGATGTGTAGGGTAAGAGGAGCACAGTAAGGTTAGCAGACCTCTGAAGCTTGTCTAAGGGGCCTCTCCAAGGTTATGACCCTGTTCTTATATCAAAGCAAATGAAAAACACTCTCTGAAAACAAATTCAAGTTGACTTTGGTACCACAATTGAGCAAGATGAATAAAAAGTTCCTAAGAGGGCACAGATAAATATGGTAGTGGGTAATTTACTGAAATACGGGACCCGATGGTGCCTTCATCATTTGCTGAGAGTGACTGAATGGATTTGATGGTACTCAGCATTTCAGCAGCAATCTGGAAGCAGAGGGCAAAGTAGAAATCTCTTTAGGTTCAAAGACAACACTGAAGTGTTAAGGCTGCAATGCATCTGAGAGAATAAGGACACCATGTTAATGTAGATATGCGGTATGGCAGAATGAGATGTAAAGCCAGGAAGTAGGGGACAAAATTATGAAATGGGAACACAAGAGTTGAGTAAAGAAGAAAGACTTCCATGTGATGAAAGAAGTCAACAGGGCAAGAGAACACCAGCACACCATAAAACAGCAGTGAAGTCCTTATCCTTCCTGAGGTATTTAAAATCATCTCTGACATTAGAAGTTCTGAACACTTGCATTGAAATACTCAAGTGTTGTCCAGTGAGCTTGTCCTATTGAACTTGCACATAGGAGAGAGGACATAAAAGGGCTTTGAAGCCTATTATTTACAAAATCCAGAAAAATCTGTCAACGGAAGCAGCAACAAAAGGAAAAATGCACCATAAGCTTTCCAAATACAGCACATATATCCCTGGAATCAAGCAGATTTCAGACAACTGAATCTTTCAAACTTCACTAGGCAAATTGCTGCTTTTTCAGTGGACTGGTAACCACTAATGCCAAACAAACCCTGATAACTACACTCCCCAGCCCCCCCCCCCCAACTGCTTCCTATCCAAAGGCTGAGAGAGCTGGGYCTGTTCAGCCTGGAGAAGAGGAGGCTGAGGGGGGACCTGATCAGCGTGTATAAATACCTCAAGGGAGGCAGTAAGGAGGAGGGGGGCGGCCTCTTATAGGACTAGAGGAAATGGCTTCAAACTGAAGCATCGGAAGTTCCACAGGAACTTAAGGAAGCATTTCTTCACTGTGAGGGTGACAAAGCACTGGAACAGGCTGCCCAGAGAGGTTATGGAGTCTCCTTCTTTGGAGATCTTTAAAACCCGCTTGGATGCAGCCCTGTGCCACGTGCTCTAGGTGACCCTGCGTGAGCAGGGGGGTTGGACTCGATGACCTCTGAGGTCCCTTCCAACCTTCGGCATCCTATGATCCTATGATCTGTGTCACAAAAAGAAGAAAAGGTGGCAGCAGCAAATCTGTCCCTAAGGGCACCCCAATTCGGCGCTCCCTGACATTTCATACTGGCTTTGCTGAGATACAAGTGGTCAGGGAGAGGGAGGCAGAATCATTTCCTGCACTGACTCAGTCCCTCTCAGGTCTTTTGGCAACACCTAAAAGGTCAACTGAGTAAGAATATTTTCAGGACTTGCTGCCAAAGCAATAGCAGACAACAGGAACGCCGCAGAACTGTCACAGCAGCGGTAGCAAGAGGACAGGAAAGAGCCACTTCAGTGCCTGTCTCCCACTAGGAGCTGCCCACCAACCTATAAAATGCTCCTCTTCCCCCTTGGGAACGCACAAAATATCTTCTCCTGTTGTCTGCTACTGTTGCAGACCACAACAGGATCAAACAGCAGAGAACTGCTCCTATCTGAAGGTGCAGGGGTCAAAACGCTGCTTGCGTGAGGCAAGGTGCTGCCTTCAGCCTCACCTGCTTTCCTTTGCAACCAAGAAAGCTCTGCTTCATACACATGTTTTACAGACATATCAAGTATGTAAGAACTAGAAACAATGGAAGTGGCTACGTGGAGCACACTCCAGAATGCAGTGACAACAAATTTAAGGCTGCCTGAGCATTGTGAGCTAGCACATTATAAATTGGCCACAAATTACTTTTTCAAGAGGACCTTTTCAGAGCTTTCTTCAGGGCACAGAGCGTGCACACGGAGAAGAGAATTACCCTGGTGCAGAGCTGGCTTCCCTGCAAGCCTTGGGAACAAGGCACACTTCCAGTTGAAACACATCCAAGAATGTACCATGACTATAAATCACTATGCTACAGAGAGGAAGCTGGTGGTTATCTGTAAGAGCTTTTATTTTTGCTTGCTAACTCGCAACTAGAAAGCTTCTTGTCAAGCAGAAGAGAACATTTCTGGGTCTTTCATATCCATATTAATCTACGTAGGAATTCAAATAAGCAGAGGATGAGGCCGCTTGCTTTACCAAAAGCTGCATTTCCGACTGGGAGCTTCCACAAGGCAGCCACAAGCGGGATGTGCTCCCTCACAAAGGAAGAGGCGCAGAGGACCTGTCTGTGTGGGGGTATGTGTGTGTACACACGCACCCACCACAGGCAACGCAGAGCAAACACAACATTAATATTAACCACGGGTCACCATTCCGCTTTGGCTTAAGCAACAGTTTCAGGTGACCTGGCTGGCCGTGTTAACAACAACATGTGCTCTCCCAACCCGCCTGCAGAGTATGGCTGATTTCTGCAGGTCAGGGAAGGCAAAGCCAAGACGTGTAGTCTCTGTCACCCTGGCAGAGGCAAAAATAAAACAGCAGAACTGCAATGCTACCCTCAGACCTTTACTATGGAGGCTAGAGGGGCTCATCATGCAAACTGGACATATATTTGTTATAGCTGTGATTGCCATGTTTAAACATTACGGATTTACTCTCCTCCAGCGGAGGCTGGAAAATGGCATAGGTCTTGCTAGATACCAACACACTTGCACGAGCCTCATTAATTCACAGGGGATCACATGTGGAGGCTTAAGTAGATTCAAGGCAATTAGCAATTCTGATAACTTATGATTTTAGCAGAAATTAAAAGTAATTAAGATGCAAAACAGTAATTAAAATACATTGTGTAATTACTGTTCTTTAGAAAGCAAACAAATAGTACTGTTTTTCTTGACATCATAAATCCATTACTTATTTCATGCCACTCTAGCACAAATTTAAGACACTAGTTTTAAGTTTGGGCATGTGCATGTGTTTTAACTCCTGTGACCCTTACTCAAGCATTTGATTAGGGAGAGTAATTGCAAAAAATTACAAGAGTACTAAGTAGATAAACAACATTATTAACCTATGAGCACTTTGAAAATGCAGCGAAGGCAAAAAATACTGTACCTTGTTCCAATATCGAGCCAGCTTCCATAATCTTTAACCAAAAAGAAAAAGTGCTGGGAAATAAAACACAAAATTAAAAGCAATGTTTGCAGGTTGTTTACTTGAAGTTTTTAATTCTTCACATAGAAAAAGGGCAAGTCCTTTCCAGGAATGCTTGTTTGGATCAAAGTGAGGAATATTCTAGGAGTGAGAAATACGTTTGATGTCGCATTGAACACGAACGGCTACGGAGGGATTAAGTTCTGTCAAGGGGTTTTTTGCAAGAAGCACAAAAGATTATCAGCACAGAACCGTTTCAGGAAGAAAAGTCCTTTTCCTATGCTACTTACAAAAAAAAATCAGCAGATTTTTTAGATCAGTAGATCAATAGACAAATGAATCCTTATTTGGTTTTGTACCTGCTGCTTTTCCTATAAGCTTAGATCCATAAATCACACTGTAGAATCAACTCACATCAGGAATAGTTACTCCACAGAGTTGAAACTAAAGCAGTTCATACAAAGGGAGAACACCAACTCTACCTGGTAATTTTGAAACGTTCCTGTGTATTTTGTGATACCATGGGGCACTGCTGGCTGGGCTGAAGGTAGCTGGAGGGGGCACTGAGGACATTCTTTTAATCATATGAAAAATGGGGAATGAGAACTTAAAGAATCAGAAAGTGAAGTAATAAGAACACTGCCTCTTCAGAAGCCATTAACTACATAAAATTCAGAGTGGCAATTGGAGGAGTTTTATCTCTAAATTATGCCAGAATTCTGACTCAATTCAGTGCCCTAGTTCTGAAAACTTTGAAGTCTGAAACAAATTCAGCTCTTCCCACATGGAATTAGGGGAGTTCTCTGCTTCTTGATCTCATTTGAGCAGAACACACAAGAGCAGCTTACCAGAGCCATCACGTCTGAAATCACAAGAACAATGAGGAAAAGGCTGCAAGAGAAACAGAAAAGAACCAGACCATCAACTGTTACTCACGGCCACAGACAATTACAAAGCTTGCTAAAACCCATTAAGAAATTAATATTATACGAGTTCTTTTCAATCACTCAGGTGTGTGTGTCACTGTAGCACAGAAAGTTAAGACAGATGACCAGAGCGTTTGGTGCTTGTCAGGCAGCTTGGCAGCTCTTCAATTAGCCACTCTGCTTGAAAAAGCCATTTTTAATTAAAAGAGTTCCAGTTTTGCAACAGAGAAGCCTAACACAAGTCACTGACCAGAAAACAAGAGCAGCATCCCAAAGGCTGGGTGCTAGGCATGCTTTTAATTCACATCAACAACCTAGTGCTACAAACCAGACCTGTCCAGCAGGTAGCACCCCGTCCTGACACAGGGAGCTTATGTGCTGAATAAGTCAAATACAGCTGATGTAGAAGCTTCAGGACGGACTCTAGTGGGACCAAAACTGCTTTTGTATATGCAGATACCTGAGCTGATCAGCCCTATTCTGACAGCCTGGCTGGCTAGGAGGCTAAGCAAGGGAGAGCCTCCCATCCAGACCCTTGGGTGCCTCCAGCTGCTCCAGGAATGTGGGGCTCCAGGAATGTGGCTCCTGGCATTGTGGAGCATGTGCCCAGAGGCAGGGTTCTTGCTGGCAGACTGCAGGTTACTTCAGGAAAGCCCCAAAGCTGTTTTTTTTTTTCCCCCTATTACCTTAATTTGCTTTTCATTAAAATACATAAAGCTTAAACTACATGAAAGTAGTTGCCATGAACTGCTTAAAACTAGTTTCTATGTTAATGGCACTGAAACAACGCTGCCAACAGCTGACCCATTAACAGGAAAGTCTTTAAGCATAATACAGCTCATTTACCAGTACCATCAAAAAGTAGGTGGACTGTGTGTGTGCTTGTGTATGCGTGTGTGTGGTTCTTAATGTCCCACTGCAGCTCTGTGTGAGGGTGTCCGGGGTGACACTCGTACTTGATGTCACCGGATGGGAAAGCTGTAGCTTCAGATACTGCTAAATCATTAGTAACTAAGGATGCAACAACCCTACTGTTTCTCAGACTTGCTGAAAGTCTCATACGTGCTCCAACTGTGTGTGCCTTTCAGACAGGACACCGCAGTACTGGAGGGCTGTGTAATGCTCAGTCAGAGGGCTGTTGTAACCAGCAAGCTCTACGGACATTACAGAATATTCCCCATGACAGAATATTCCCCATGAGTGGCAAAAAACCCTAAATTTCATAGAAGGAGGGGGAGTTTGGGAACAATTTGTCCAAATTACAAAAATCTGTGTTTTGGTCCCCTCAGCTGTAGAAGGAGCATCCTCCCTCATGGCATCATCCCCAATCCTACATGAGAAACAGAGGATCAACCATGTCCTCTGGCCCACCGAAAGGGCCAGGGAGGCGTAACAGCTTTATCTGGGCACTAACAAATTGCCACAGAAAAGCACAGAGCCTCCTTTTTTTTCCCTTCCCCTTTCCCTCCAACTCTGTTTGTGGTGAGGTCAGTGTTACTAAATTGGTTAGATTACAAATGGGTTATTTAAAATAATCATACTGTAGGCAGACGTGCAATATAAAACAAAAATCAAATTTTAAATTCTGCTCATTTTTCTACATTAAGGAAAAAAAGGTGTCCCTGCTGCGTATTGTCAACAGAGAATATTAAATAGCTGATTGTTTCAGACAGGGCCAACACTTCCATTTATACTCATTTATTACTCAGCAAAGGATTCCTGAGCTTGCAAAAACAACACAAACCCTGAACAATAATATCAAATAAAAGTAACAGTATGATCTCTTAGTTGTTTTGCTTTATTATAATAAGACTGAAATTGGACAACTACGAATTCTGGCAAAATAGATTTGAAACCCTAACAATGTAGAAATACAGCATTTACTATACCTTTTAGAAGAAAGTTGTGTGGTGACTTGGACAGCTTCAAAAGCACATGATACCAAAACAAATGGGATTACAACCTGTTTAAAACACAAAGTATATTTTAGTTTCCAACCACATTTATAAAACAACCTGGAAGGCTGACGAAACATTTTCACCCTTTCAAAACTATCAGGAAATGTTTATGGTGCGAAAATAAAAATATTGGCAAGTAAAGCTTGCAAATCATTTTGTAGGAAAATGAATAAAAAAGAAAAACAAAAAACTTCCATGGTCATGGCTGAACTGCAGTGAAACAAACCATGCAGCAATGAGAAAAAGGATAATTAAACCACACTCATGATCCTCACTTCATTTATCCATTTTTGCATTGTTAATAAATACTTCAAAAAGGGCTAGAACACAGAACTGGCCAGGCCCAATATCTCACACGGCAGGCTGCAGAACTCCAAGCATACTGAGGCAATCGCAGCTCAGCCACAAATATCTAAATATAGATTATATTCTGCAGCACAACGGCAACACTGCTCCTCCAAAACCAAGTTAAGCAAATACAAATAGATCTGTGAATTTAAACAAACAAACAAAAACACTATGCTAGAAATAGTTTCTTTCTAACTTCAGCCTGCTTTCTCGGGGACAGAAGAAGGAGAAACAGAGGTAAGAAATGTAATTTGGCAATAATCCATAAACTCGGTGTCTCTCCTCTGTGCTGTGCTCCTCAAATACTCAATACCTGGTACTCAAATACCAGGAAGGAGCTCCCACTCCTTGCCTGAAAACACAAAGTGCATCTCAATCTCTAGCAACTAACAAGGTATTAACAAGCTATGAAAAATCATCAAAAATACTGTTCACTCTAGAATGACAAACTAGTCGTTCTGACATTCACAGCCTGTACTTAACGCACAAAGACGAAGCTAATTCTACATATATATGCTATACATACAGATATATACACACACTATAGGTGTATAGCTGTATGTGTGTGTATATATATACACACACACACACACACACAAACACTATATATACAACTACATGTATATATAGTTTTCCTCAGTGCTTTTGTAGCTATTACAGCACGGGAAAATTTATTGTTTGTTAAATAATTTTTGCAACACTCACAATTGCTTTTGAAATACAATAGGCCATTTATATTTTCTATACACTTCAGCCTTTCTCTTATGGGAAGTCAGAAAGGTCTATTCAGAAACACCACTAAGGCTGAAAGCTACACACGTGATCGAGTGAGTTAATGAATCTCAATTATATAAATATAGCTGCTTGTAAATTGCAAGGTAACAACTATGTGCACGATGTGCCATTTATTAAACAGTTTGTCACAAAATTTCACCAAGATTCCTCACCTTCAGCACAAGCAAGCCTCCCATCATGAAGGGACTGAACACTGTCAGGAAGCAATAGACAGAAGCCGGATCGAAACTAGAGAAGCATGAAAAAGGCATTACAACTTATCTGTGAAACAGCATTTTCCATTAAAAAAAAAAGGGGGAAAGAAAGGTTATTTAGTTTCTCCTGAAGCTCACATTATGCATATAATATTTCTAAGCAAGACTTCCAAATTCCTCATGTCTTGCCCAAGTTCTAAATGAGCAAGGGCTCATTTCTCCACCTCCCTTTCCTTTTCCTGCAGCTTTTCTCTATCTGTGCCTTGTGAGGCACCTGCTGCCGGGGAGCCCCTGAACTGCCAAGAAGCTCCCATGGAAAATGGAGACGACTAAGTCATGGACAAGCTCTGGCTCCTAGGAACAGGCTACAGGCAGCACAAATGCAAGGAGTTGCTACTCCACCGACCCACTCTTACAATACTGTTGCCCTGCTTTTGCTAACCAAATCTACATTCAGCACACTCACTGTAGAAAGGTTTTCTTTTGCACCCTGCTGCTTTTCAAATGAATGAATAAAATTTACCTGTTAACAGATGCGATGTTGCCAGTGCCAAAAAAGGCTGTCACTATGAAGAAAACCTAGATGTATTTAAGGAAAACAGACCATGGAAAGTTGCAGCAGAACAAAAACATTCTCTCTGTTCCATTGCAGTTTGCTTTCAAACTCCTGCCATGAAGCTACAAGAGGCTGGCCCACTATTATAGCTCTGCACTTTAGAAACACAAAATATTTGACAGGGAGGGAGGACCTGTTCAGGGTTTTAGAGCCCATCTCCAAGGCTCTGCTGGAGGGATGCAACTGGTTTGTCGCAGGCTCCGAGCCAGGCTGGAGTTACTGGGACAAGGATCCCCGTTGCACTTCCCACACACTCATGTCACGTGGTCCTGCACCCCATCGATGGTGTCGCTGGGGAACCAGCCAGGGAAGAGGTCAGTGGCTAAGAAACAAGAGTCAAGGGTTTTTTACACTGTCCCTCCCATAGTTTTCTTGCCCAAAAGTTGTTCTGTCCATTGCAACAGATGATTCATGATTATTATGATCTTCACTGTGAGGGTGCCAGAGCCCTGGCACAGGCTGCCCAGGGAGGTTGTGGAGTCTCCTTCTCTGGAGATCTCCCAGACCCACCTGGATGAGACCCTGTGTCCCGTGTTCTGGGTGTCCCTGCTGGAGCAGGGGGTTGGACTTAGATGAGCTCTAGAGGCCCCTTCCAACCTCAACCATCCTGTGAGTCTGCTATTCTGTGATTATTCCCTACGTGGGGTGGGAGGATGATTCTGGCAGGATCTGGACAGCACCAAGTTTTTATAAACCTACCCTTCTCACATCAGGATAACCCGTGCTGCTCTGTGAGCCCGGGAAAGGTGCAGGATGGTATCTCCCTACCTCCGGAGCTCACCAGCGCCCATATCAGCTCACATCCTTCTGCCAGCAGTGAGTTTAGATTCTCTTTTGCTTGAGACAGAAGTTTGGACGGTGATGATGGCTCCTGCCTTTACAGCTCCCTCTGGTCCTTCCCACAGCCTGGCCATAGCTTCTTCCATAGGATCCCTAAGGTCTCTGCATAAACAGTTTGCTGTCAACTCTACAGTAGAAGAGTTGAGATTCTGCTTGCAGTATTTTGGAAGGATTAGGCCAGCAAAACTAAAGAAATTATAGCTCCCAAGTGTACCACATCATTCCAAGTTTAGTAACAGCAATCTAGCAACATAGCACAATTCTGCCAGTTAAGATTTATAAGAAAGACAATTCTGCAATGAACGAAAAAAAAGAAAAGCCCGGTAGCACATAGGTCATGTGGAGCAGCCTTACCAAGACACTAAGCACATGAAACCAGCATCTTCTCTGGAAAACTGTGCTATAAGACCCTTCAGCAGAAGCTGACTCTCGGGTCCTAAATGGGAATGGTGGCATAGTCGTGTTAAGAGACACAGTTTACAGGGTCATTGTTGCAATGTGACTGCTCCAGGAGAGAAGACTTCCCTTTTAGCACAACTATTTCTAATTGTTAAACATTTTGTAAATGTAAAAAATCCTCCTGAGCTGAGTTTGATGTGCCTGGTCTCAGTAAAACACAAGTGTTTTTCAGGAGCTTAACAGAACATATTTAGGTATTTTACATTAAGTTGGCATAAAAGAAGGACTATGTTGAAGCTGAAAAAAAATCTTTTTTTTTTTTTTTTGTTACAGTTTTTAGGGTCTGACAAATAATGAGAGCTTTAGCAATTTTTGCTTTTTCTTTTTTCTTTAAATATGTATATAGCAAAATGGAAGACTTTTCTGCAAGGTGTTTTAGTTGCTTTTGGGGGATACTCCAAAGCAAACACCTATATTCAGCACCTAGCAGAGCATTTTTTCATCTTCTTTAGCTCTAAACTTCATTTTTAATAAGGTAGCAGTTTCACCTCTTCTTTTGTAAGGACGTTTTCCAGGCTTTTTCAGGCTGTATTCAGACCACTCCTGCCCCGGCTCCCGCTCTGCCAAACCTACCTACACAAGAAACCCTTCTGTTCCAGACTTGCTCATAATTTCTCTCCCACTTACATACCCATTACCCTTGTTGCCAAATCACTGTCACCTAACTGCAATTACATGATGAGAGAGAAAAATGGGATGATTAAGCCTTTACAGTATTAAAAGAAAAAAAAAAAGTCATTAACAGCAATTTCAGTTTGAGAAAGGTAAAATAACTGTTATGTTAGTGAACAAACAGACAGACAACACCCCCCACCCTAGCCAGAAGCATTTCTGACAGTGAAAACAACCTATGCTATGAATAACAGTGGCACAGATCCTGGGAACACGTCTCCATGGGTCTGCAGTAACCTCCCTCCTCCTCCTCTCACCCAATCCATTGGCCACGGTCACTGCCTGCCCCATGGCTTTTTCTTCCTAACAAGCAGTCATATGCTGAAATGAGAAAATGTGAATAATTTTAATATCACCTCTTCTAAACAGTCCGTGAAGGCTGAATGAGTTCCCTCCAGACAAAATGCAATAAAACCACACTGAAAATGGGTCCCCTTAGAAGAATATGACTATAGTGATCATAAGAGACCAAATTGTTCAGAGTGGTCTTGGAGCCAGGCCTCAAAGCTGTGCGGTTTGTACAGCATCACTGCATCAAACACCTTAACACCAGAAGGTCACGGTCTTCTGAGCAACATGAGTCAAATTATGTTGACCAGAGGACCCCAGTTTCTGCTTCCACCCACTACCAGACTTCTGGTTTCAGCACCTTTTGAAAGGAGTCCATCTTCTCGCTGGAACACAGCGACCAGCAAAAGGATACAAAGAAAAAAGACCTGCGGACGTCATCCAAGTGGAGCTGCCGAAACTGGCTTATATCCGTCGGGCAGGAGAAGCTGAAAACAGCAAGCTGGAAAAACAGAGAGGAAATCAATACCTAATATCAACTGCAGGATTTTGATATAAGCACTGCATTTTTACTGGAATGAATGAGAAATAAACCTACTTCCCCATCAATTGATATTAGAGTGGCATCCTGGTAAGAACTGCAAATCTTTCCTCTATTTTCATTATACTTTAATGAACCAGTCAGAAGGATAATACAAGCGAGATGATCAAATGAACACAGCAGAGTTTCTGCTGTTGTCTGCACTACAGAAGTTCTTCTATGCTTTAGATTTATCAGCTTTCTTTCATCATAAATATTCCGCCTACGCACACACACTTCCACTGTTCACATGAGCATGTGTATAAAAACCCACAGCAATAAATGACTACAATTATCCTCAGCTGACTTATGCTGTGAATGAGAACACTAAAATATTCTCCATCTCCTTCACTCAGTTCTTAACATGACATCCCTTGATCTGAAGGGAAATCATCTTCGTGGAGTTTAAGCGGCCAATGAACTTTTCACTGGGGAAAATTAAAAAACGAGTAATAGATTTTCAATACTGTCAACATTTTAATTAAAAGCAAACTCATATCAGAGAACTGAGCTGGATTCTCAAATTAAAAATTTTCTTTGGGGCAGGTATCAGCAGCCGTTTTGGAGATGATTTTTTCTAATCAAAAAAGGTGGGTGGGATTGAGCACTATCAGTCTTTCCATTTCCAAACAAAACAAAGCTCAGGAGACATACAGGGAGGGACAGCAGAAAACTTCATCACAGCTCACTTGTGTCCTTTGCATTTGGTTCATCAGGGCTTCAGAACTGTCCTAGTCCTATACATAATATTCACCTTCAGTAGAATTTTGTTTTTAAACAGGTTAAATATTAGATAGACCTCTATGAGGCAGGCAAGTAGCAGAGATGCCTTGTCAGAATATGCAAAGGGTCGAAGTAGGTCCCAGAGAAGGAAATGAAGCCTCGAGATGCCTACGCTCTGCTAGAATCCCCCGTTGCTTCCATGGTCTCACACTAAGGACACATTATTTCACATTCACGTTCCTCTTATGACATTTAAGATGCTTCAAAACGTGCCCACGTGAAATACCTTAAGTATATGCAACAATGCCCCTTACAAGCAGCTCCGCTGCATCCCAGTGGAGCAGCCAGGGGCTCCGTGACCTGCACCAACAGCAGCACATTTGGGAGAAGGAGCAAAGCAGAGCGCAGCAATCCCTGCCCGGCTCAGCCCAGCCACAGAGCAAGCCCTTTGGTGCTAACCAACTTAGAAGCAGGAACCACAGCACATTAAACCACTGGCCTAGCCTCAGAGCCAAGTGGCAACATCAGCAAAACGGGCTTTGAACAGTACATTCAATCTCCAATCTCCACCTGCATTGCTACCTGTTCCAAAACTCCCTCTCCAGGCAAACCCACCAAGGTATTACTTCCAGCTCAGTCTCTGGCTATCTGGCTGTCCAAACAGAAATAGAGAGAGAGAGTGGTAGGGCTAAGTCAAACAAGATTTCTGGCATTTCCTATGGGTCTTTTCAGTCTCTTACAAGCACATTTGTGACTCTTCTATCAGACGCGCAGAAAGTACAGCAATATTGTACTTAATTTAAACAGGGTTGTTATAACTTACTCTGAAGCAGCATGACACTCAAAGAACAGAGCTTTGTAGTCTACAGGATACACAGCTAAGTCAAACCGATTTCCTGCTTTCTCAGGAATGGCTCTGGTGAGGAACATCTTCAATAAAATCTCATATAAATCTCTTTTACAAGGTCACATTCCCATTTTATAACAGATCTGATAGTGGCTTTCCAAACTCAAAAGAAGGAACTGCAAAGTGTTGTGCTATGAAAACCACTGAGACTATTTATTGTACCTCAATGAAAAGACAATAAAGCTGATAGTTATATTTGTATTAGATTAATTATCTGCAGTGGTTACCTTTGGTTTGAGTGAAAGACCGTAGTGCTGCAGCGCTTCTTGCTCCATATTTATCCACACAAACATCAAACCAGACAGCACCAGTGGAAAGAGAGCTTCATATCTGAACAACAACATAGTTAAATCACAGCACGTGCAGTCACCAAAAAACATTTAACACCAAATACTTTTTTTCTTTCTTACTTTTTTTCTTTCTTTTTCTTTTTTCTTTCTTTTTTCTTTCTTATGTGACATACCCAAGAGCTGACACCACCCTCCTCCCTTCTGTGCCCATTTCTGAGGTATTTCTACACTTCACTGGTGCAGTTTAAAGACACACAAAGATTAAGTGGTAGATGCAGAAGAGACAGAGGCTGCTTCAGCTTTGGTCAATTCGTACTTTGGATGCTGGCCATTCACACTGCCTTAGTGCAATGATTAGTTTTAACAAAAATCAGACCAAACAAAAAGGAAGAGGATAAAGAAAAAAAAATATGATTTTCTGCAAAACAGAAAATTCTATAGTCAGAACTACTTGAAAGTGAGCACAGGAGGTGCAGTCCAGCTCAACAAGGCAATCAGCAAGGGTCCCTCTTCGGGGTCCAAGCGCAAACTTATCCTGCTGATCTCAATCCAGCTCCAGGAGAGAGGCAGCCCTTGTGGTAAAACGAGCATCCCATTCCACCAAACAACCCTTTTCTTCCCTACGTGCTTTCCTGCATCTCCAAGACTGTGCCAAGCTACGCTCTAATCAAGGCAGCTCTGCTACCCGAGACGCTAGATCCCTAATACTGGAGTCACTCGTTTCACCTAGAGCACCTGGCAAAGACTAACAAGATTTTAATATTGTAGGATAATCTGTTATTTTTTTCTGAACACGCTGCAGGATGACAGGAGAGAGCTGGCAGCATTCAGGTGGTGTGGTGCATGTTCACAGCACAGACAGGGAGATTATCAGCCTCAGAGAGGGCAACATCCACGCTGCCCAGGAGCCAAGACAGACTACGAAGGTTGAATCTAAGACTGTTTGGGTGGACAGGGGTACAATTAGGGCCAAAATCTTAATGGAGAAGTGGGGGGAAGGGGAATACAGATGGAAAGGAAAAAGAAATTTTAAAAAAGGGAGAGAGTCAAAAATGCTTCATGCAAAATGAATACATCCTCAAAGGGAAGCTATTGCTAAGTGTCTGCTGCAATGTATTTTATTCCACTTAGTTTTCCAGTATAATTAAATCCAAAGGAGAAGTGGGAGGTGAGGGGGAAGGAATGGTTCCTATTATGCTCTGAAGACCTACTGAGTTTGGAAAATAAAACATGGGATTGGCTCACACTGTTTTCTTCAGTCTTTAACCCTGGGGAATTGCCTTTTTATGTGAAAAGGAGCAAGTCCTGTTCTTCATGCATGTCTAACATCCCTTTGGAAAAAAATAATAAAATAAATAAACCCACCTCCCATGAAAATATCTCCTTGAAGAAAATTATCCCTCATTTTAGGGCTGTTTCCTACAGGGTGCCATTTAAGGCATAGTTAGATGCAAATGCTGAGCAGCTGAGAGACAGAAGTTATTTCTTTTTGTTTGTGAGCAGAAAAACATGTACCAAAACAACAAAAGATACAAATTAAAACAGATTTCATTATTTTGGTACAAGGCTGCTTGAATACATATCCTTCCAACCACTGCCTGATCCAGCTGAAAGGAATGTCAACAAAATAGAGTGCTTATAATACAGGCATAACCTTGGAAGCTCTCCTGAAATTTTATTTAGCAAGCTAAATAACCAGATAAACGCTGAGCCTTCAATTGTGGCAAGCTTTATGTCTTTAATAGAAATATTTATGAGATTCAGCAGACAATTTCACAGTTAGCCCCTGATTTTCCTATTTGAGACCAACACACACAGAGAAACCGAAAGGTACCCGGTGCTGAGGAGCAGGTAGATGGCCATGAGGGAGAGCAGCACGCTCAGCAGTCGCTGGAAGAGCAACGTGGGGCTCAGTAAAGGCAGCACTGAGGAAGCAACTGCAACACAAGAAGAGATTTGTCAGTCACTACATGCAGAACATTTCACCCTCAGCAACCACCCATCAGTCTTCAAAGCTTAGCGTTTTATGCATATTGAAATTCAAATCTGGACATATATGCCCCTATTTTGAGAAGTTACTTTACCTACAGAAAGCCAAGTGTTCAGAAAGTTTAATATTTATCAAAAGTAACTTTGGGAAAGAAAAAAATATAAATTATCTTCTCTATGATATTAATTCCCTGGCTATCTAGCCCACTGGCATTATAACTTCTCAGGAACCGCTATGTCCTTCAAATAATTCAGACAGCAATAGCCCCCTAAAACAGTTAAACTCGACATGTTCAACAGGAGCCTGAGAAACACTTACCATGGCTTTCAGGGCCATGGAACTTTTATTGAGCAATTTTATTTGATCTCTTTATATAGTGAGATGACAAATAATTTGGGTATGATGCTTCAATGTGCTACAGTCCCCCTCACATTACTGAATCACTCAGTCTGCATCACCAGTAAATCATAATTAATAATTACCTGAATCAGTAATAAAACTAAAATACGTAGGAAGGGCATTGTTTGGTTGTGCTTCTTTTTTTTGACATAACATAGGTCTGCAGTAGTACAGACCTATTAAACATCTAAAGACCTCCATGTTTCTGGCAGACTTACGCAAACCTCTCTATGCGACTCCTGTCCATGGTTATAACATTAAGGTCCTCAAAATTTGTCACATGCTGAAGATAGATTTCTGCTGATGAAAAAGTGTGGTTGAAATATAAGGTATAGATACTTAAAAATATCTGCTAACATAAAAAAAAGAAGCTTCTGAAGATCATGGGAAGCAGCTGGAATCACACTGACCACTGGGTTTGTCTCTTTTCTGGTATGTTGCACTGCAGCAGCCACACAGCGCCGCAGCTAAGGCCAGTTCTTTCCACAGGCCTTAGAAGAACACAAGCCCAGCTCACTTGCCTGGGTCTCCAAAGAGCACACCTTCTTTAAAACGCTCTTTTAGGCTTACATTAAAACTTTATGCAAGGTGGCCTTCGTATTTGTCAGAATGAATAGCCGAGAAGGGAAAAACAACTAGTTAAAATATCACAAGTGTCAATCCTAGCTTATCAATAAGTACTGAATAACTGTGTATTTGTAATAACTTAAAAATATAAATTTACTGTGATAAAAAATGTGGGTTAAGTAACTGTGCTATTCTTCCAAAACTCTCTTCCAGAAACAGGTAAAGAGAAATCTCACCCATGTGCAATGGTGATAAGCTTGAGAAAGCCACATTCAGACCCTGTTATCACGTCATGTTTGTGGTAGGTGCTAGTTTGTTGTTAGGCTAGTGACAAGGTTTATCTTTCCAACAGGAGTATCAAGGACATCCTGTTAGATACCTAAGTTTTCACCTGCCTTGCTGTGCAGCTTCAACAAATTGTGTAAAGCTGCTTCAACAAATGCATAAAGCTCCTACCTTGGTTACCATACAAATGATTACTTCTAGTCTGAAGGATTTTGCTAAAATATTCAATTTCAATAGAAATATCACCCAGAGCAAAGAGAATTTCCCATGTACACTTTCCTCAACTCTTGATTACTCTTACTGCCCAAGTCATTTCTTGGCTGAAAAATATTTCTCTCCGACCATTACACGGAAGGGAAAACTAATCTTTACCCTCAATCCCTATGATAGCAAGCCACGCAGGACATCATTGACTCCAGGGGCTTTTCAAGCCGCAAGGAATTCAGGCACACAGAGATCACCACGTAGCTGAGCAGGCTACCAAGAGCCAGGAGAGGATAGTGGTGCTGCAAAATGCCCCAGAGGAAAGGAAGTGGGGAGGAGAGCCCTCCCTGTGCACAGGCTAACCACAGTCCCATTAATCTTCAGCTTGTTTCCTCACTCAAAAGCAAGATTGCTAAAACTAACAAGCACTGCTCAAATGAAGGCAGAGCCTCCGCTTCAGGAATGTATGCAATATGTATGGCCTCCAGCAGCCAGATAACAAGAGTCCTAATTCTGCCATTAAAAAGAATGTTTAAATATGCTAGCTTTGAATTGCAGCAAAGAGATGCTATGAAATCATAAAGGGGAGATGTTTAGGTCTAAATACCTCACATTGCAAAATTAGCCAGGGATAAATAATGTGCAACATTTTCTAATAGAGCCCTGCAGGACTGTTTTAGAGACGAAATACCGAAGGTTTTCTTTTACTGTATTTCATTTTCTCAGTGATACTTATATCTACTCTGTTTAACTATCATAAGATTTTCATTTAGAAGGGTTAAAATCCATGGGTTTACTTTTTTTTTTTTCCTTTAATAAAGTTTCCAACAGCTAGCAGACCTGCCTCAATTCCAGATCACAAATATTTTGTGCTGCAGCTCTGAAGAGCACGTCGATACAGCAAGAGTCTCTGCCATTAGCTGTGACTTCAGTCTTTATTGAAAAGTAGGAGTAATTTTGCTCACTTCCCTGTGTTTGACTAGTTTGCTCAAGGAATATCCCAGACTGTCTTTCTTTGGATTCAAATGAAGCAAAAATCGAATTTGCCATTTGTACCATTGCCATGTACCATTTTATCCCATGTATCTCAAAGGGATCTTTGAGATATTCAAAATATTAAAAAGTAAAGATAAAGCTACTTTTAAATCAAAGTTGTTCACTTATTATAAGCTTACAGAGAAGTAATATTTTAGAAGACTATTACATTCATTAGAAAAAAAGAACAGAAAAGAAAGATGGCGAGCACATCTAAAAACCAACAGGAATAAAATAAAAAGTGCAGGATGGATGAGATGTTAATACAAGGTCTATCCCCATCTCCACTCCCCCTGAAAAGACATAAGACTCCCCCCAAACCCAATGCTCAGCATACAGGTTTGGGAGAGGTGGGGATCTTACCTAGAGTTGCCCAGCTAATAATCTGGTTGAATACTGGCAGTCCCTGCTTGCTCTGAAGACTGCTATGCGTACTGCTCACGACGTACGTTGAAAGTGCAATGCTCAACATCTAGGAGGAATAAATCTCACAATGAAACACAGAAGCAGCACAGCGAAACTCAGCCATGCCATATTAAATATGTAAACTGCTTTTTCAGAGTTGCATAAACCCCTTATCTGAATCAATACAAGAGAAATGGGAAGAGAATGAGAACACCTGGGGAGGCTCTCTGATGTGTAAGTGAAACAATTATGGATTTTTTTGATTGTTTTTTATTTTTTTCCAGACTTTATGCTGTTTTAAAATCACTTGAACAAGTGTCCTGGATCACCGACCTGAAATGCTATGTCCTTTTCCAAAAGTGGTTCCTTGAACACTCACGTAAGTCAGAAAAAACACATGCCCCAACTTTATGGCTTTTACAAACATCTCCTGAAATAAAGTTGCCTTTTCTCTAGCATTTCTTAATGGACAGACACACACACAAACATATTTATTTCAGGTTTGCAACATATTGCAAAGATCCAGGAACAAAAGGAGCGGAGCTAAGAAAAAGGGGCTCCTCAGGACTAACTCAAGAGACAGCCCTCCCTCACCGGGTAGCTGCAAAACAACCTCAGCAAAAAAGCCCCACTCTGCTCAGTGCCCTCCTGCTTAACCAGTCCAGTCGCTGCCGTGGCCCCTCCACACGCACTGACATTGAGCGGCACCTGCTCCGGGAACAACATCCAAGATCTGCGAAGCACCCGCCCTGATAGCCCCGCAGGGAAAATGGTGCAAGACCCACCGTCACTTCCAACATCAGCTGGACTAGATACGCAGCAGGTTTGGAATATTCTTTCTGTGCCCTAACCCCATGGGTTTGACGTGGGTCCCCACTATGGCCCAGCATTAACAGCCAATGGAAACAGCGGAATTTTTGGCAGCGCCACAAGAGCCGGACACCATCTGTGAAACTGGAAATGGTGACACAAACTGATGTTTTACTCCAGCAAAAAATGGTGTACACTAAACACCACTGCTACCTGGCTGACAAATTAGAAACAGCTCATCTTTGGACGCAATGCTGTGCCACTGGATGCCACCCTGTGCCCCGTGCTCTGGGTGTGCCTGCTGGAGCAGGGGGTTGGACTGGACGATCTCTAGAGGTCCCTTCCAGCCTCAACCATCCTGTGATTCTGTCTTCACCATTCCTGGAGCCTTAACGACTTTTCAAAGATAAAAATGACGTTAGCCAAAAGACAACGCTTTCTCTCCTGGCTACAGGACACAAAACTCAGCCAAAAGTATTATTTCTGCTTTAGTTATGTTAACAAAAAATGGGACAAACTGCTGGCAATTTGGAGAAGCTATGAGGGAGTAGCTGGTATCTTCTGCTTCAAGCAACAGTAACTTGTATCAAAACTACAAAAGTCAGTCTAAGAGTAACTGAAGTTACTGTAACAGAAATGTTGGTGAAAACACAAAGTTGCTTAAGTTTCTATTTTTCTGTTTCCATTTTTGATCATTTTTTTTTTTTGGGATCAAGTTCTCTGGTTGTCTGCAACATTTTTTATGCTGGAAATCTGTAATATTAGGCACAAGGCCTAATCAGCAAATTAATATCTGTAAATGGTCTCTCAGATCACTAGCTTTGCAGCTCGTACTCCTCCGCCAAGCAGTAAGCTCTGGTGCATCCCTGGAGAAACCAACACAAACATAGAGTCCAGGACTGGACATAGGGAATTAGCTCCTCTGGGGAGAATAAAATGAGAACTGCCATTATTTCTGCCTACTCAGAGAGTCTCTGCCAACTGGGAGGAAGCTGGTGGAGCCTTTTGCCCACCTTAGCACAAGTGACAAGCACAAGTGACCAGCAGGCTCAAACTGCAGAGTGAGACAGGGAGGTTTCTCATCACGGTTCCACCTCCCTATAAATTGCCTCAAGGCTGGAGGTGGAGCTCTGACACACATCGTATGGAGAAGGAACTGCTGTGGGTTGTTTGTTATTTGTGTGGGGCCAACCTCCCCTTTCTCTTAATGCCCTGGGCCCGTAGCAGCCCCCAGGCTTCACCCCCAGGAAAGCAGGTCCTGAGAGAAGGTGCACAGCACAGGAAAACAAAACAACACACCCAACTGTGAGGGAGTGAAGCCCCCTTGCCAGCGCTACACCACAATCTCAGCAAGAGGGCACAGAAACAGAGTATTTAGGAAATACAAGAGAGGTGAGTAAATAGGTTTGGAAATTCTTTGGATCTTGGGTTTCTGAGGGCACAATCCCTTGAACTACTTCAGCATGGGCACTATGTAGGTGCTGCCAAACAGCAGCAGGACGTGAAAGCAGAGAAGAATCATGGCCAAATGCCAAAATGCTCAGCCGGAGCCCGGGTTTCCTTGTGTCAAAAAGGGGAGTAATTCAGCCTTGTTCCTCACCAGGTAAGGGGAGGTGGTGCTACCATGGCATCTTTGCCAATTCTCAGGTGAAAAGGGCCCATGTGAGCAAGAGAGTAGAAAACAGATGTTCTCTGAAGAGAGGAAAGATCTTCACAAGCACTGGAAAAAGTCTACGCAATGCAAACTCCTCTCTTGCCCTGACAGGAGTGAAAAGGGAAGTGTCACTATTTAAGTGCAATTCAAGAAAAAAACGCAGGCAACCAGACAGAACTGCTTGAATCTCCTGGAAACATTATCTGATTTCTTCTATGAAAGTCCATCTCACCCAAAACGAGCAGGTGAAGGCACTTGAGATCCTGTCAAATGAAAGATTCAGAAGAGGATGCCTGCACAGAGACACTGCCAGAATGAGGAGGGAAATGATTTTTAAAAAGCAGCAGGGGCATCCTGGTCAGAGAAGTTTAGAGAAAACAACAGTTTCTTTCCCTGAAAAATAATTAAAAAAGGCAAAAACCAGGGGAGATTCCTATTCCACGGCACAATTTAAGGTGCTTTGTTTTCTTTTTTTTTTTTGCCCAGAGCTGAGCCTATAAAAGAGGTCAGCTGAGGGGCTAAGAGAATCCCAAGATGTGCCCCCAAGACCATCGCTGAAGAGACATGATGTTTTCCCTCCTACTTCAGCCAGTACTTGTCAGGAAAAGAGGACCCACTGCAGAAGGCACCGCCGCAGATTTAGCCATCTTCTCACTCCCCACAACGAAGACCCTCAAACCCCCAATCTCACTTTTTCCTATGTAGGAACCACGTATCAGATAAAAGCGTAAACTTTTTACAACTGCCTCCTAAGAGGACGTATCTGGGAGGTGAGAGATCTGTTGCTAAGAATCCCCCTGTCAGATGCAGAGCAGGAACCTCACTGTGTGTGTTCACGTGAACAGATGTCAGTTCCCTGATCACTGCCATTTCACAACAGCTATGTCTTGTCTGATGAGAAGTTTCAGCTTAGCCTTAAGCCTGCCCAGCAGCTCTGTATCAAAACCTATGGGTTCAAAACGCCTCAAATCTGCATTTTTGAAGTTTTTCCTCCCAATGAGAACTCTAGCCCAAAAGGAAAAGCCAAGGGAGAAAGGGCAAATTCTACTTCCAAAAATAGTAGCAATCTCCTGGCAAACATCTCTTGGCATTCTTACATGCAAACACATGAAGAAAAGCTCGTGGTTCCAGTGCAGGTATAATGCCTCTGCAGGGCTCTTTCCACCTGCCTCTACGTCTGAAGCACCCTGCCCTCCCATCCTTCCTGCCCCGGAATGTGAATGGCAGTCCCCAGCACTGCCCTCACTATGGAAAGCCTTTGAAATAGAAATCCAATAAAAGCTACTGTGTTGCCTACCACTATTACACAGCACTGTTGTGAGATACCCCCCCCAAAAAAAAAACCAACTGGAGGAGCTTTATTGCCTTTATAAAGCGAAGGAAGATGTTTCTTCCTGAGCATGCAGGCAGGTTTTTTTTCATCTAATTATGTGTCTCAGGGCTCAGAGAATTTCCTGACTTTGTAGAGCTGGCTCAGGAATAGTCTGTCATGTCTCTTACCCTACGTCTACACGTCTGTTCCCACAAGATCTTCCAACTCACCCCTGCAGCAAACTACTACACAAAGTGACATTTCTAGCTGCTGAGATCCTGTGGCAATCCAGGCAAGCCAGCGAGAAGAACACTGCTGACTAACTACAGTATCGTCTGTTTTAAATGTTTAAGAAAGGACTGGATACCTCTTTTAACAAGTTAAGCTTGAAAACTGAACAGGAACAGCCACCACATTATAAATGTGCACGCACACAGTTAAAGGCATTAGAAGCATTCATTTTTCTTTCCTCTCCTCCTCTGAACAAATTTGATCTCTGCCTCTAAATCACTGCTAATGAATGCATTGCTCAGCTCAATAAGAAATTCCAACACATTACAAGTCATAACCGATAAAGCATTTAAGAAACATTATTGGTCCTGAAGGAAAACCATTATCTTGGAACAGGTTTAAAAAGATGAGGACAGCAGACATGCAAAGCACTATCAGAATTTCAAACGCTCTTTAGAACTTAACTAGTGCTTACCAGGGAAAAGATTTACCTACTTCAGGAGGCTACGGAGGAGGATTGCAGTGGACATTCAAAAGATTTAAACAACAAAAAAGCAGCTCTGTGTCAGCTTCAGGTGATTTTTAACCACCCAGAAACAGTAAAGACTCCCCTGAACAAGTAAGCATGTTCACGCGTGAAACTCCCACAAAAGTCACTGGAATTTACATTTCCAGACTGAAAGCAGGACCTTCAGAGCAGAGCATCAGAACGTGTGTGCAGAGCTATGGATCAGAGCACACAGTTTGCTTGGGAAAAAAGTAGTCAAGGCCCTGAGCAAGTCATTTCTTGTTGAAAACTGTAGCCATGGTAGGAATGGATGCTTGGACAGCACCCATGCAAAAACTCCTTCATGTTCCCAAACATGGAAAAGTAACAACTGACCTGACAAAGGTGTACTTTCAGATCTTCCTTAATCACGTATTTATTTTTGCTTTTACAAAGAGATGCCAAGGAGGAGCAAGAGATCAAAAGAGTCAGCAAACCAGCTGTTATTCTGTAAAAACAAAAGAAAAATAAAATCACACAAAGTTTCAAGAAAAAATCTCAAATCAATAAATTTTCATGGGTATGCTCTTCATTCAGATGAAATGAATGAATTCTACTTCAACATTCAATTTTGGAAAAAATAAAATGCAGAAGTACTTCTTCTATTCAAATACATCTTTGCTATGTGTCACTGAATCAGCACCTGATATTTTTAGCTACTTTCAATTACCTTCAAGCAAGACTTTGAGTGAAATAAAGTGGTTGCACAACTAAAGTTAATGGCTTCAAGGTCTGTCATCCTGCAGGGAAATTGCCTTTAAAATACACTCCACATCTTTTAGTAATGGTGGTATAACGGCCTGATTAACAGGCAGGCTGAATGACAACTCATCAGGTAATCACAGAACAGTGGATTGGCATTACTGAAAGAAATCAGCTTATTATTATACTGTTCCAAAATAACAAATATGACTCACTGAAAGACCCATACTAACACCATCCATGATTGCCTTCCTCCAGTCACCAAGCAGAAGAACAGCAAAGCAGTAGAAACTTTTGCATCCATTTCCCTGTCAGGCTACAATCTTGGTGTGGAAATAGTTGAACCTCCTAAATAGTCCTCAGGAGCCTCTCACCACTGCCACAACCTCTCAAAGCCTTTAAGGAGCAGCCTTGCAGTGACAGTGGCCGTCTCCCCCAGCACTTGTTGAGGCATTCTGTACCTTTGGGCACGTGCAGTTCATTTAGATGTTCCCTGACCCATCCATCCCCTACCAAAGCAGAGCCTTTCTCACTCCAGACCTTCTCAGGAGTCTTTGTGGCCTTGGGATATTGAAGGTTGTCTTAGTAGTAAAGATTGAGGTGAAAGAGGCATCGAGTACAGATTCACACAGAATCACAGAATATTTAAGGTTGGAAGGGACCTCTAGAGATCATCTAGTCCAACCTTCCTGCTCAAGCAGGCACACCTAGAGCATGTGGCACAGGGTGGCACCCAGGCGGGTTTTGAAGACCTCCAGAGTAGGAGACTCCACAGCCTCCCTGGGCAGCCTGTTCCACTGATCTGTTACCCTCACAGGAAAGAAGTTGCTCCTCACCTGGAGACGGAACTTCTTATGCTTCAGTTTGTGGCCATTACCCCTCGTCCTATCGCTGGCCACCAGTGAAAACAGCTTGTCCCCTTCCTCCCTGCATTCTCCCTTCCTGAACTTATACATATTAATCATATCCCCTCTGAGCCGTCTCTTCTCCAGAGAAAACAGGCCCAGCTCACTCAGCCTCTCTTCATACGAGAGATGTTCCATTCCCTTAATCATCCTGGTTGCCCTTCTCTGAACCCTCTCCAGAAGCTCCACGTCCTTCCTATACTGGGGAGCCCAGAACTGCACACAGTACTCCAGGTGCGGCCTCACCAGAGCTGAGCAGAGGGGCAGAATCACCTCCCTTGACCTGCTGGCAACACTCCTCCTGATGCAGCCAGGATCCCATTGGCCTTCTTGGCCACGAGGGCACACTGCTCACTCATGGTTAACTTGGTGACAACCAGGACTCCCAGGTCCCTCTCTGTGGAGCTGCTCTCCAGCAGATCGACCCCTAATCTGTACTGGTGCCTGGGGTTATTCCTCCCCAGGTGCAGGACCCTGCACTTGTCCTTATTGAACCTCATGAGGTTCCTCTCTGCCCAGCTCTCCAGCCTGTCCAGGTCCCTCTGGATGGCAGCACAGCCCTCCGGAGTGTCGGCCACTCCACCCAGCTTGGTGTCATCTGCAAACTTGCTCAGGGTGCACTCCGTGCCCTCGTCCAGGTCACTGATGAACAAGTTGAACAGCACCGGGCCCAGCACTGACCCCTGGGGGACACCACTGGCCACAGGCCTCCAACTGGACTCGACTGGTACCTTCACCTTTTCCATGTCCTTTGCCACCAAGTGCCCTATCCCCTTCAGCAGCAGGCCCACACCTTCCCTAGCCTTCCTTTTGCTCCTGCCCTTCGGGATTCCCTTCACACTGCCCTCCAGACTTAACTCCAGGTGGGTTTTGGCTTTTCCAACCTCATCTCTTGCACATTCCTCTTGGGTCACCTGACCCTGCTTCCATCTTCCATTCCATTTCTTTTTATGTCTGAGCTTAATCAGCAGCTCCTTGTTCATCACATACAAGTTTTATGAACATACTGAAGCAGTCCTGACCTGACACACAGTGCTGTTGCTCAAGAGCACATGTAATAAACGTGCCTGTTTTCCACTGGCACTCTAATTATTCCCTCCTGAATTTTGTCTTCCAGCATCTCCTTATCTTCAGCATCCCAAAATGTCACATACACACATGTATATATATCTTCATTGTTGCTTCAAGTCTTTTCAATTTCAGAACTCCCTAGACAAGGGTCAGGAAGGTACAAATAGTTTCAGAGCTTTGATGTTTGTTATTTTAGAAGAATAAACAGGAAGGTGTACAGCCAGGGTAAAATAAATGTAAAGAAATGGTGGGAAAAATGACTTGAAAGTAATTTAATTCCAAATTACTCAAATGTTCTTAGGAATAAACAAGCTCTATTTGGACCAGTAGAAACATATAAATGTGCATAAATGACCAGTAGACTGCAACGGGCATAATAAATCTCTCGTATATGTATAGCATGCCCAGACATCGAGATTAGGAAGGACTTGCAACAGGCAGATTTAAATATCAAGGCAGAATGTCAATGCCTTTGAAAACACTTGGATTTATAATTCTATCTGCGTTCCTGTATCACTGCTTTAATCCTATAATATACTGACCATCAGCCACTCTGGTGCTGATGGGGCACAGTCTGTTGTCAGACAGCAGATGAAAACGTTGCAGTCTAGGTCAATTCAAGGCTTTTTCTGAAGTTACTACAATGATACCATCAACTTCCTTCAGGCCAACAAACCAGACTGTGTCCAGATATGAGAAAAGGACTTCCATGATGAAAGAGCAGCTCACAAAAGCAAGAGATAAGGAAGATGCAGTAGAAAGAAAAAGCAAATCAACCACCAGCGTCGAACAATCAGAAAAGCAACACCAAAAAACACCAGAGAATATAGAAAAGAGAAGCAAAAGCAGAAAGGACACAAAATAGAGGAGGAGGAGAAAGCGGCGAGTTCTTCCTACCCCATTCACACACTTTGCTGAATAACTCATTAGCTACGTTTATTCAAAGAAAAAATATTCAAAATTAGATGAGGGAATTCAGAAAGATGCTGTCAGAGTAAATTGCTTTTTAAATGTTCTTATTCACATATGTCAGTCCTATTTACCAGGCCCGCACCCCAGCGAAAATCCTCCATTAATGATTGCCTTCATTTTCATGTACAATTTGCAAATTTTTGTATTGTGAGAAATGTTTCCATCCACAAGAAATTACAGAATAATGCAAGCAGCAAATGGATGTGGCTTTTTTGAAGTACTGCGGGAAAATTAGAAGTCTATTCTCATTCACATTAGTGAATAACTGACATCTCTATAATCACGCTATTTAAATTCTGCATTTCAATACCTGTTTCAGCCAACTTTCAATCATACAATCCCTCACATATATTAAAACTCAGCCTAAAATGGTGGTTATCAAAGAGGCAAGTAAAAAGTTTAAAGACCAGCGTGAGATGCTTACACCAGAGGAATGTTTGGTTCTCTTCCCACAACAGGCATTAAAGGAAATATTGCCAGAAGTGCACACAGAAGAATCCAGGTCAACGCTGTCTTCTAGAAGAAACAAACAAATGGGATTTTTGGAGGTCATGTGAACAGCCACTAGCCTGCTCAGAACTACTAACGGCTACTAACATCCCCCACGGATTAAGAAAACAACAAAAAATCTCATCTATTAAGAACATAATTAACAGAAAAAAAGGGCACAAGGTCAGTTGTATCACAGCACTTCAATTTAACGCAGAGAAGAACCTAATTTAAACAGATGTCAAAATCCTATCAAAGACAGTGAGAATTAAAGCTAAGCTTGTACTTAAAAGCACTTTCTCAAAGCATGGCCTTCACACACTTTGCAATCACCAGAGAGCTGATGAGTAACCTTAAGAAGAAAGGAAAAAAGGTAATCTCATCAGAAGCTTGCCACAGCTAACAGATCATCTGTTCTCTACTAATGCAGTAACATTTTCCAGTTTTTGAATCTGAAGGCCATCCACAATAATCACCTAATCTTCTAATTCTGCCTGCGTAAGAAAAAAAAAGTATCTTATTCTAATTTCTAAGTAAGAATATTCTTGGTAATATTCTAAATATTCTAAATATAAATAAAAAATGCTTTAAATGTTCTAAATGTTTTAAACAAACATAAAAAAGATTATGAGCAACCTTGCTTATAATTTTCAAGCTCAAATCTGATTCTGGTGCCTGAAAGGTAATGTTCAGTGCTACAAAATCTCTTCCGTGTCTACCTTGATTAATCACATGCTATAAAAACTAAGTAATAACTAAATATAAAGTAAATAAGTAAATATAAACCTTCCTCTATTTGGATTTACTTCTAAGATTTGGATTTACTGTAGAACTCTAGGTTTTGGGTATATTGTGAAATAACAGAGGTTTGAATAAAACTAGCTGAGCAACCATCTCACATATTATAGTTTGTGCCACTTCACATCCATACTTAAAAAAGTGGAGCTTTTCCTGGGAAAAAGAGCAGAGCAAGCTGCCTCTGAGGAACAACATATGCCATTTGATTGCAGGTAATAAAGAAATGAGAAGTATTTTTCAGTTATCTTCAACTTTTTTTTTTCAAAATAAATGACCATACTTTTTTTCACCCATCATGGATGTCAATAGTTTTGTCACTGTGACAATGCGAAAAACGACATGTATTTTATCGACTTTAATCCAAATATTTTCAGATATGACATCACCAAACATTCAAAGCAAACAGAAAAGATGACTCTGATAGCTTACTGATAGCTATCCTGAAATGAGGCCAGAAGCATGATAAATCAACCCAGAGCAGTGAGTTTGGGGTTTGCCTGTTGGATTAGGACTATTCTTGCCTAACTGCACTACTGACTACAGTCCAGGACAGCTGCCAGTCAAAATGTCAATCAGATCAGCAGGTTTCATTCCTAAGCAGCCTCATTACTTGTCTTGTATACAACTGATGAATCCAGATGCTGTTGCAGCCTCTTGCCTTGCTACAGGCTGCTCGTCAGACACACGTGAACATGGTCATGACTAAGAAGCAGAAGCTGCGTTCGGAAAGACGTCAGTCACAGTGTCCTAAATTGCAATGAGCTGCCTGTCATCCAAAATGCCTTTTTCAGCAAAGCAATGCCCTACCTTTGCCTGAACCCACAGCTGAGTGATCACTGGCCAGACAGCAAAGACAAGAAGTCCAATTGTGAGCGCAAAGCGGTAGAAAAAGCTGAAAACCTAATAAAAAAAAATCAACAAAATACTGATAAACAAACACACTAATAATGACTTGAATTTCCTCAAATGGATAAATTTGAGCAATAATATTCTTTGTTAATACATATGAATAAAATACTTACTAATATTTCAATTCCCAGTGCACAAACAAACAGAAATCCCACAGACTGGCCAACAGGAAGCAACGAGAGATTTGCAGCAAGATTTTGAATAACATGAAATCTGTTTCAAATGACAGCACAAGATCATTAGTATTTTAGCTGCACAAAAATAGCAGAGGATTTTCTCTCAGAAGGGGTCAAAAAAAGAAAAAAAAAAAGGCAAAAAACCCTTTAAGGTTTCTTTCCCCCCAGTTTTTGGCTCATCTTCCTTTGCATTTGGACAAGCCACAGATTACTCTTTATCCAAATTGTCTGCAGGTTTATGAACATTTATGCTTATGCTGTGTTTATTGTCAATCACAATTGATAAAACATCCAGAAGAAAATACTCCCCTGTTAGCTTTTTCACTACTTTACGAGGAAGCTCATTATCTAACTGCAGTCGGTCTCATTTTCCCTGAATAATACCTTTTTGCTGTCTACAAAATTGCCAGTAGATTAGGAAAGCAGTGGCAACCAGAAAGTACCAAATTCTTTTAAGTTTGGGACATTTCTTCAGGTTACAGTGGAATCAAGCAAGACACTTTTGTTATATTATCAGAATGCAACCCTAAACATGACTGGCACATATTCTCTAAAAACTCTTGGAGTTCAGAAGACTTGACACTTTACAGAATCAGACAACTTTAAAATTACCTGAGGAAAGGAATAATTTGTCCTATTTTACAAAAAAAANAAAAAAAAAAAAAAAAAGAGAGACAGCTGTCACAATCCAAGGTTTTAGCATCCTTTTTTTTTTGCTACGATTACCAAAGTACTGAAAATATTTGTTTTGGAAAGATATTAATTAAATTTGGGTAATAGAGAAGACATTATCTTGATTTGGCAATTGCATCAGTCAATTTGGAGACTGCTCTATACACCAAATGCAATATGAACCTGAGCATCCCAGAACATCCCAGGAAACATTTCAGAAAAAAATTAAAAATTGTATGTAATAATTTTTGTCCAGTTCTTCAGGAATAACTTTAAGACTGCAAGTTTTACAAACCATGCTTTATAAAGCCACATCTGTGCTTCTTTTTATTGACAATTAAGTTATTTACTTAGCTTCTACTTTACTTACTCTTTCACAACTGCATACCATACCGGCACTGGCAACAGACAGTATATGTAGTAGGTCCAAGGACATGTTTGGATCAACAGGAAGAAAGTTATTATTGTTCCAACAAATGCAAAGACGTACAAGAGAATAGTGGATTCCTGAAAAACAAACGATTATACAAACATTCCTGAAATAGCAGTAAAATAGTTTAAACTACACTGTTTTTCACTTGTGAAAGTGGAGGCGTATTTTACACAGTAAAGCTAGTTCTGCTCTAACCCAGCTGCTCAAGCTGCCTAGTGTACTGCCTACACAGTTTCCAGACAGATGGAAAACTAATAGCAGAAATTAAAAATCTAGTTCTAAATAAGTTTCTGCATAGGGTCCTGCAGCAAACTACACAAGCAAAGCATGCTTATACAATCTGGAAAACCCTTGCCAAGCAACACAACTTCATTTCATCTGATATTTAAGATCCAGCGGAAATTAGAGGAGCCTTGGGAGAGAAGAAAAAAAAGAAAGGATTCTTGGATTATTTTACATTTAGATACTAGGTATAGATTTGGAGCAGTACTTTACAGTTTATGGCATTGCAGTCAAAATGTTTAATGACAATTCCATTAGCAAACCCCTCCTTTTGCTCGAGCTCCTTTTAAGAGAAGTAACTAGATTAAAATACAACGCATTAACAACTATAGAATAAAGCAGCTGTCTTCAGGATTTACAGGATGGATTTTGGGGAGTTTTCTCGGGGGAGCAGGCCCTCTCACCTGCCCCACAGCCGCCGGCCAAGCTGTTCGGCCCAGCCTGCCCTCTCCTCCCAGCTCCCATGCACAGCTACGTGTTCCCCGAGCTGCTCCCGATCCCGCTGCCGCTTCCAGCCGCGCGGATTAGGGTGGCCTAGTGCTGATTTCAACGTGCTGCCCACATGGAGGTGCAGGAGCTGCTCTGTAGGGCAGGCCGCGCAGGGCCGTGGGGCGGCCGCAGGCCGCGCAGGGCCGTGGGGCGGCCGCTGCCTCGGCACGCAGCGCTGCACCACGTCCAAACCGGGGCTGAACCCGAGTGTTTGAAAGAGGCTGCTCCCGTCATGAAGGAAAAGCAGTTTGCACTGTCTGCTGGCGCCGGCTTGGCAAACGGTTCTGCTGTTCAGGCTTGAGACAGCTCAGAAGTGCCCAGCGGTGCTAGAGATGCGGGAAAGAGCTCGCCTTACTCGGAGATGCTAAAATTTCCACACGCTACAGAGGACTGAATGTAGTTCAGAGGGATGCACTAAAAGGTTCCCAGACAAAACTAGCCCAGCTATTATATGTAGCTGTGAACTACAGAGCCAAGTTTGGGCTTCTCTAAAAACATTTAAGACCTCTGTGAGATCAGAACATTCTTCCCGCCATGTACTAACACAAACACCATCTTAAACCGTGAGCTGTAAGGAGGAATATCAAAAAGGGATATGGAAGCCTGAAAGGGATGCTCTCCAGCTGACAGGCTAATCCCTAACACAGCACCAGTTAAGAGCAGTATCTCATTAGCACAAAGGGGAACATTAGACAGATTCTCCACCTGCCTTTCATCTGACCATCAAAACACACTCAGTTTAGGAGCACTGGGGGATCCAGATGTCACTGGTGAGGGAAGATTATATACAGATTTTAAACAAACTTCTAAGAAATAACTAAGTTATCTACTAAGAAATAACTATCTACTAAGAAATAACTATCTTCACGTACTGCAATGTGCCACAGCAGGAGCAGCCTCGCTACGTGAGGCCGCCTGTCTATGGCGTAGCTAATGACAGAAGAAACTTATTTTCTTCCGAATGGCCCTTGTGTTTCTGTGCAGGAGTTAACTTGACAAACAGGTCGCTGCGTTGTCTAAGCTGGGATTGACAGCCACTCAATTAGCAGTTCACACCGAGACGTTATCGTTTTTTTCTGTGCCTACCCCACACTGTAATTGATATAAAGCTGCCCTGATGAAAGCTGACGGCAAGTGTAAGTTCTAAATGATTTCTAAAGCAGAATTTCTGGTAAGATGAGCCATTAAAGAAAGATGAAGTATGTCACACTGAAAGCTGACCTCCTGCAATTTTGTTCTATTAGCTTTAAATCTCACATTTGCTGACATACAGACAGAATGAAAATGTATAGATATTATATGCACACAATACAATCTGTCGGAGAATGAGTAAACGCACAATCAACGTTTTATTCCATATAGAGATATAAATATTATAGAATCCAATAGTTGGTCATGCACTAAAGACAGAAGCAAGATTTGCATTTTCTGAAAATTTTAAAAAATAAGTTGAAGGGCTGAGCTTCTCACTAGCTGAAACAACACACCACTTTAAAAGAACAAGTTTTTTCAGAAGCACTGTAAGAAAAGGAAAATTTTAGTAGATGATGTGCAGAATATGCATTTTCATTACTCAAAGGTTCCTACTAGATTTTATGCAGAAGACCATTTTTTAATGGTAGATTAATTTCACAGAAAAATTCTGTAAGGAGCTTCAATATTAGCTATAAAGCAAATAACTTCCATATAAGAAGCATTAGTCTCACACTATGACTTCCTAAGTATTTAGGAGCATTAAGAATAAAATGGCTTCTCCAGAAAAAGGCCTGTTACTACAACTAGGGAAAGAGAAATCTATAGACAAAGAATATAAAAAAAAAAAAAATCTTTGTTTTACAAGGTATCACAGGAATAAAAATTTTCTTCAACACAAAGAAAAAAATGTATATACCAAATTATTTGAGAAATGCAAATCTGACATTAAAAATGCAAACATTTCCCTTATTGTTTTTTGATCAAAATACAAGGCTTTTGCTTTATGATGTTATTAATACACTCAGTCTATTTTCTTATAATTATTTTGTTCATGTCTAATGTAACAAGCATCTTGGATTTCTTCTCAATTTTTTGATGAAAGAAAATCTAAGTCACAGAGTATAGCACTTATGAATATTTTTCCATTTCAATTTTGTTTGATCATTTTCATTAAAGGCCAAGAATATCTCATTTCAGCCAGCAGTGAAATCCTCAGGATCGCATGATAAGAATTTTCTGAGTAATTTACAGAAAGCAGTAAAGATGTTAAGTGAGTGCTCATTCTCCTTTATAATATCTAATTGAAACAACTCCTTTTATTCTGAAACAAATTCTTGAAGGTAGTTTTTTTTTCCCCCCCTCCCCCTTAAGGCTTTAATATTCCTCTAGTGTTTTCTTTCCTGTTCAGCTTTGAGGTATCTCTCTTTTTTTGATGAATGATTGAAAGAAAATTGAATTTCCCAGGATTTTGTACTTTGTGAAAAATCAAACCATAACAATTTCGTAAAAATGAACTTCCTTCATCTTTGATGTCTTCTGCTGCTCTCTGCAAATCACAAGAAGCAAGTGAGCAAGCTGATCTGTGAAACCACAGTTCACCTTTCTATTAGAATATGTTATGTATTTTAAAAATGTGATGATGCAACTGCTGCTCAGCTTCAGAAGACTGATTTATCATTATCTTTGTTTGCATTTGCATTAATATCTAGCAAAATAAAGGCAGGAAGAAATAGCAGTGCTCTAGATGTGGATTGAAAGAAATTGTGAGAAGGGGATTCTTCAGATAAGAGCCGAGATGGAAGGTCAGAAGAGCTTGAAGCTACCCGTATTTTCACGGCAAGAAAATCATGGTTTGGCTTTGATTCAAAAAAACACCCTGCTTTTTTTTCCCCAACATTTATCCCCTGCCACGCACTGTGCCCACTTGAAGACAGTACTGCAGACCTGCCACGCTCAGGAATGCTGATCCTCATTGAGGAACTGAAGAGTGGGGCTAGGAAGCATCGCAGCTTGCCAATTTTCTCAAGTCAAGAGAACCAGGTGCTTCGAGACCTCACTGAGAGGTTGAAAAAAATGATAACAAAAACAGTGCATGTTTCTGACCTACCTTGCCATGTCTTGGAGCAGCCTTAGCCAGATTGGTATGGGTCTTGACAATCACCAGGATCACGTAAGCCGTCCAGCCCACAAAACCCATGGCAATACTCAGGCCCAGGAATAATCTGTCGTAAGTATGGTAGTAAGACAGGCCTTCCAAAGCAAGGTTGATCACCGTTTTGCACAGAGATACCTGGAGAGACAAAAAACACGCATGCACGAGGTTAGAATACTGCAAGCTCATTCCTCAAATAAAGTCCCGAGTAAACCAGAGCTCAAGCAGCTCTGCCACTCCTGGCATCTGCTTTCTCTATCCGTGCATTCAAGCAGAGCGCTTGGGCTGGCAGCTGCTGCGGACATGAACACGACGCTGCTCTGGGCTCCTGGGGGACACATTTTCCATCGTCACTTGGCTCTTTTGACAGCAGAGCAGTGGCCAGGAAGATCATGTAGGCACCACAGGCAGTGCACCTCGTATGACACCTAATATACAGCAAGCTGCTTGTTTTCCCACTGAGCGTGAGCCACAGAGCTGCTTTGCTCTTCTGAAGGCACAACATTTAAACGGCAGAGGATTAGGGATGGGGTTAAACTCGGTTGCTCTCCACAGCCTGAAATATCCTCTCCTAGGAGGGACACTCTCCACTTGAGCAGCAGCAAATACTTCAAGTATCTTGCCTAAACGTGAGAGGTAAATCAGAGACTGATCTGGGGCACCAGGTTAACTTTGCCAGGTTGCTTTGGGCTCCCAAGTCATTTGAACATAAGAAGGGCTCTGCTTTATCCAACTCCAGGTCCCTTAACTCAGCGCCTTTTCCCCGTTAGGAATCATTTTGAAACACCATAACAAAGACTGATTCTCCCACCGTGAGGGCCATTCCAAACAGACACATGCTGACACCTGCAATCCCCCCAAAGATGGGAAACCCAGCTGTACAGCTGGGCCATACAGGACTCTCTTAGAGCTCTCTGGAGAAAAACAAGAACAGGGGCCAAGAAACAAGCTGAACATACAGGATGATGCTTACTACGTGTATCCTGGTATCCACTACGATTCTTTATTATTGTCTTGGTTAATTGACTCAGTATGGACCTTAAGTCTGGGCACAGTTAATGGAAATTTGATACCCACCTCTCAGCAGAAGCACTAAGTTAGCTCTTTTCTCTTGGCACACTTCATTTCCAGGCCCAGCTGAATTTCAGCAGGCCTCAATCAATAATGTGCCACGATCCATAAGGCACCGTGACACTTCAAGAAAGGAGCTGTTGTTCACTGAATATGTTCCAGTCAAAGAACAGTCAGGTACAAGGTGCAGGCCAACGTTATTTTAAGATACGTGCGCCTCATTGACAAAATCCTTTGAGAAGTGGCCTTACATACAAAATACTTGAAATGGCATGAAGTCTCCCAAAATAAATGGATCATACCACCTCCTCGCAGTTTTTAGATAAACTGATAGGACACTGGCATTCCTATTTAAGCCACAAAAGTGGAAAAAAATCCCAGCAACAATCAATAGGAAAAGGCACGTCAGCTACCGAAGCCATCACGAATCTGCCAAGGGGCAAACACACGCAAGATCATGTCACTCTCCATGAAACAAATACGAACGTGCATCTGCATCTGCACTGAAAAGAGCTGCAGAGAGTTGAGGAGACAAAAGTATCTCCCATGTCCCAGCAGCACAACCACTCTTTTGCCTTCCAGTTCGGGGAGCTGAGGACCAAAGGCTCAGACAAAAACCCAACAGGTGCCAGCGATCACACCAGCAATCTTGAACACAGGGCGCTCAAGTGAACAAAGGGTAAAACTCATATAATCAAGAAAACACTCAAAATCACAGGTTCTACCAGCAAAATGTATAAAATACTTTATATTAGTAAATATATAATAGTCAACAAGTAGTAGGAAAATAAAACAAAATATCACAACTCTGTTCCCCCCACAACGAATCCCCAAGCAGGTTCATTGATTTCCACTGAGGTAATTCCAATTTACCAAGAGGTAAATGAAAAGACACTATGATATAAAATAGATGTAGCTCTTCTCTGCATAAAATAGTAGTTGACTCCCCTGGGAAACATGCAAGAGAAAAAAGAAAGAGCTAAATCCTAGCACAAAACACAATTACCCTTGCATGCATTTCTGTATGAAACGCGTATTTTCAACTTTCCCATGTACTTTTTAACACAAATGACAGTAACTAGCCTAAACCCATTAAAACTTGAGACTTCTTTGTATCATTAAATTCTACAAATGATTTCTGTGAACATCAGAACACAATCACTGGTGAACCATGATCATCACATCGCTTGCCTGGGAGTGACTTCTAGCAAATGTTTAGAAAACAACGTAAGAACTGGGAAGTACAGAATGGTTCTCTCCACATGCAGCTCTGAGGGTCTGGTAATCTGGAATGTGAAATTAAAAACAAGAACAGCTGGTAAGAGAAGAACAAAACAAAGCAGGATCTATGACAGGGAAGACATACTTTGTTTTTAATGGAATTAACAGCCTGAGAAATATGACGTGAGTCATATGCCTTAGTTTCTGCTTGAAACTACTCCTTTTCACAGTGGAAATGTGGAAATGAATACATGCATTACATCTTAGCATACTATGCAGTAGTAGAAGAACAGTCTAGAAGGCACGAGAAAAACAGCAAGTCAGCACTGTGTAGAACCAGATGGCATGGAGTGTGGAATTCTGGACACATAAAATAATCATATATTCTGTTTTAGTGAGATGTGCATTAGAAAAAAAATCAGACATTTCCTAGTTCCATTTCAGGTTAAACAAATTGAAATAGATATTTACATAAAATGGAAGTTCTAAGAAAAATTTTCTAGAAGGTAAATAGCAAAGACACACTTACCGCTTCATCGTACTTTTCCTGCTGAATGTAGAGTCTTGTTTTCTTTAAAAAATTAATTTGTTCAGAATCAGAAAGTGGCCTGTAGAACAAAAGAGAAAAATACTAATGCTGCTTCTTGTCACAAATAGAGGAAGAGGTGAAAAAATCTAAGACTTTGGAACAAAGTAAACCAAAATATCCTGAACATTAGAGAAGTAAACCATTCCTGTACATTCTCCAAGGATGAGTCAACATGGCTACCGTCTAATTTATCCCAAGATCCTTGTATTAAGTGCCACTTCCTCTATGTAGGTGTTCCCATCTAGCGTCACCTGTGAAAATTCTACAATTTATGCACTATTATGGATGATTCCTCCGGACTAGAAACACTGCACATGCAAGAATTAAGCTATTTAACCGATTTCACACCAACGGTTGTAAGCAGGTTATAAGCCTGCCAACATGGGATCAATTGTTCAGATGCCACACTTACAATACATGACACAACAATCTTTTCCTTGAATAATAAGTGCTTCTCTCCTCATCTCAGAATCACAAAATGGTTAACATGGGAAGGGGCCTTTTGCAGATGTTCTAGTCCAACTGCCCTGCAGAAGCCGGATCACTTAAGTGCAAGTTGCACAAGGTCACATCCAGGTGGGTTTTGAGTATCTCCAGAGATGAAGACTCCACACACTCTCTGGACAACCTGTTCCAGGATTCTGCCACTCTCACAGCAAAGAAGTTTTTCCTCGAATTAAAGTGGAACTTCCTGTGCTTCCATTTGTGGCCATTTCCTCTTGTCCTACCACTGAGCACCACTGAAAAGAGTCTGGCCCCATCCTCTTGACATCCTCCCTTAAGGTATCTATCCCCATTAATAAGACATCCCCTCAGCCTTCTCTTCTTTAGGCTGAACAGGCCCAGCTGTCTCAGCCTCTCCTCACAGGACAGATGCTCTAAATCCTTAATATTTGTAGTCCTATGCTAGACTCTCTCCATTAGCTCCATGTTCCTCTTGTACTGGGGAGTCCAGAACTGCTCCCGATGCAGTAGTACTAGAGCTGAGTAGAGGGGCAGGATCCCCTGCCTTGATCACCTGGGAACTCTTCCTAATGCACCCCAGGATCCCATTGGCCTTCTTGGCCACAAGGGCACATTGCTACCTCATGGTCAGCCTGCAGTCCACCAGGTGCCCAGGGGTCCTTCTCTACAGATCTGCTCTCCAGCAGGTCAGTCCCTGTCCTGTCCTGGTACAGGGGGTTAGGAGCTCTTTAGGAGCAGAACCCTGCACTTGTCTTTGTTGAATTTCAAGAGATTTCTCTGTAACCCATCTATCCAGCCCATCCATATCCCTCTGGATGGGGGCACAGCCCTCTGGGGTATCACCCACCCCTCCCCGTTTTGTATCATCAGTGAGTTTGCTGAGAAGGCACTCTCTGCCTTCATCCAAGTCATTGACGAGTAAATGGAGCCAGACTGGACCCTGTACTGACCTCTGGGGGACACCTCTAGCTACAGGCCTCCAACTAGACTCAGCACCACTGATCACCGAGCTCTGCCATCAGAACACCCACTGAAGGACAGCATCCACTGCTCTCCCCTCACCTATCCAGCCCGTCATTCCATCATGGAAGGCTCTCAGATCGGTTAAGCTTGATTTCCCCTTGGTGAATCTATGCTGACTACTCCTGATCACCTTCTTGTCCTCCACATGCTTAGAGACAACAGCCTGGATGAGCTGTTCCACCACCCTTCCAGGGATGGAGATGAGGCTGACTGGCCTGTCATTCCCTTCTTGAACTTTCTGAAGGCTGGAAGAGGAGGATGAAGAAAAAGTTAAGGTGATGGTAGGTGTCTGACCCCCTAAATTTGGTGTGTGCAGGGGAGAGGTTATAGAAAACAAAGATTTGAAAAGCAGCAGAGAACACTCTGCACCTTCACACTATGTCCCTCTAAAAGCCAGTCTTAGGACTGCACAGGCCGAGAGTGAGAAGCACGTAGACAGTGTGTATGGACCAAGGCTAATGTTAGCATCAACTCTTTAAGACAATTAACAAGATCCAAGTCTTGCCTTACAGAAATATTAATCCCTCAAGTTTTTCCAAGTTTTCTGGCAGTGGAAAGCGAAGGGGGGGGAAAAAAAAAAAAGGCATCTTAGCTTTTAGGTAGGATTTAAAAAAAACAGAATAAATATGAAGCAGCTTTATTTAAGACCCAAATACATCTAAGATGTTCCCATGTGCACTGTCTCATTTTTACTATTTTACACCTGCACAGTTTTCTACCAATTTTATCCTTGTCACATTCAATGCCATGGTTTAATATGCTAAAAACGCCCTATTTTCATCTTTCACTTTGTATCTTTCCATGTAGTCATTTAGCTATAAACCCTTTCATTATCTTTTTATTCTCAGAGACCCATTTTATTATTAATGAACAAGTTACAGCCTTTTCCTGTTCCTTCCTAGATGACAGCTCCTGGGATCCGCACGTTGTGCAGCCCAGCTGAATAATGGGGCTTTTAAGCCGTTAAGTTTCAGCAGGCCCAACACAGAATACAATTACTATGTCAAAAGAGCTACCACTGGCAAGTGCATTGTTAATTTTTAAGAGCTAGCTAATATTGTATCACACCTTTTATCTTACTTTTATCATGCTTTTCTAGATGTTAAGCTTACAATAATCCACAGACTCTGCTTTTGTAAACTGTATGAATACTACCAGAAACTAAGGACTGTTCATAGGTACCTGTATGAAAATGCACATTTTATCCTGAACGCAAGGCTTGTTTTCTGAGACAGTTTTGTCACCATATTCAGCTCTTACAGAATGACAGGAGAATTTTGCATCTTGCAACAGGCTAGAAAGAAGAGTTATTAAATATTTTGATTATTCTTCCACTAAGGGATGGGCATAAAAAGTTTATCATCTGTTGAGGATTGTCATCACTTGCTAAAGCTGACAAAGACAATGGGAGATTTTAAAAAGGAGTCTCTTATAAGGTACAGCAGAAAGAGAGACAAGGCTGAGCCATATAGAAAAGTCGCCTTTAAGAAGGCAGAAGCCAAGAACTTCAAAAAAAGCAAGTGTAGAAACCCTGCCAGCCTCCTGACTTTAGCCCAGAGGAACATAGAGAGAACAAAAAGGCTGAGAAATGCATACAGAGTAAATTGATTTCACGAATTTCTGCACTTCCAATTCTAAACTAGCAAGTCATCTTGGAGTCTTTGCTAAACTTGCACATTTCTGTTTGCTTCAGCAAGAACATACTTCAGAACAAATGGCCTGTAAACTCAGAAGAATCACAAGGTGGAAGCCACACATAAATGGGTGTGCAACAAGTCACCAGGAAAAAAACATTCATGCAATTTAGGGCACACAGGCACAACAGGATGGCATCTCCAGCAAACAGAACTGGTGCCTGCTCGGAATCTGCAGCTCACTCTCTCAGGGAGACCAAAAATGAAATTCTTGTGCACCAAAACACATAAGAAACACACGGTGCTGAGGGATGCACAAACTAGAGGCCTTTTTTATTAAAGTAGCGTTGAGGACATTAAGAATATTTAGTGAGACCTAAGTGCAGTGCTAAAAATGACTCAACTCAGCTCCATCCATATGCAATATAGAGGCCCCACGGTAGCGTAATATTGCACACTGAAAGACAGTCAGGCCCTGAAGAAGGAAAAATAAAACTGCAAAGTGCTGAAACTTGTCCTTTTGAGGCAGCCAGGAAGGAACCACCCAAAATAAACAAGTATCACCTGTATTTAAGGATGATTACGCATTATGGCTAATTTGAACTTTCTGAATACATCTAAGATTTTAGTTCCAGACGGCAAACAACAAAAATTATCAGATATCCTAAGAATTTCACCATCTCAAGACAAAGTTTGAGATAGCATGATCCTCATATTTCCAATTGCCAGAATAAAAAACATAAACATTTCTATAGATTTTGAATGTGACCAAGCAACAAAACAACACAAATTTAAGTGTGGGAAGTTAAAGCCTAAACTATTCTTCAACCACCATCCAACATTTAAAAGGTTGAGAATTCAAAATAGACAGTGACTTCCTCATGCTTTAGTAGGCACCATATCAGGGGCACTGCTAGTATGTCAATGCACTTGCAAAGTTAAAACATGCTTATCAGCAATTAATAGCAAAATAACTAGGGAAAAAAAAAAAGGAAAAAAGAAAAGAGTAGAAAAACAATTTACTGGTCAGTATTAAAAAGTCCTCAGCTCTGTAAGGAAAGTTTAAGGTATGTATGCTCTTCCCAGCTAAACACTCCCGTTCTACAGTACGTAAAACAGACTGAACAGTGAAATCAAGCCTTTTTTTTTTCCCTAAAACACAGAATATCCAAGAAGTTCTGCCATCTCTCCCATTAAATAGCAAATATATATAAAGAGATTGCAGTTGTTGGATTTAACCCTTACAACTCTTATCCCCCCCCCCTTTTTTTTTTTAAGAATAAATGTATTGCAAGACTCATGTACTTTCAAGTGCAGCTCTAAGATGTAAACATAACGAAAAACAGGAGCTCTATGGTCCCATGTATTCTAAATAACACATAAGGATTCACAGTAATGGTGGGAATGTAAAGTTTTGGAACAGCATTCCTCTGAGGAAAGGCTGGTGATACAAGCAAAGGGTAACTTTGGTTCTCGAGATGTCTACCAAAAACCAACCTTTTTGGTTGGAAACAGAAATCAGAGCATCATCCACGAACAAAGAGAATTAACTGTGTGACAAAACAATCAGGCTAATTGCGCTAGTGCTTGTCAACTATCCCTGAAGAGCTGTTCATTAGCCTTGTCACAGGTTTACCTGACAAAACGAATTGTCCATGCTCCATATAATCCCCACTGTTTGACAGCCCCAGTAACAAGGCGGTGACAGAGCGTGGCGGCCACTGCCATCTCCAGAGGATCTCTGTCCCACCACCATTCCACTCCATCATCACGTGCACGAGCCCCCATGCCCAGCATCACAGGTAGCCCAGTGCAGGCAAAGCACAGGAAAAGTCTTGGAACAGCAGGAGGCATCTTGCAAGCGCATCTGGAGCCACCACCACTCGTATGTTAATTT